CGAGCTCGGATTGTACTGCGGCGAGCTCGACTTGACTCTACTGATGATGGTCGGATTGACGACGTAGCTCAGGCCGGTCTTGGCTATCGTATTGCCCGGCACGTTGATGTATTGCTGCGCGCCGCCGACGTCTTTGTTATGCTGATGCCGCTGAACCGCCTCCTGCTGAATGTGCGCCAAATTGGCTTGCTGCGCGGCATTCTGAGACAAAAGTCGAGCCAGAGCCTGTCGCATGAGCTGCTCCAGCTGCTGAATTTTAATGTAGCCAGGGGGTGCGGGTGAACTGTCGCTGGCTGAGGGCTGCTGCTGGCCGGATATGCTCACCAAGCGGTAAGTGGCTTTCGGCAGGACGACGGTGCGTGGCTGATTCTCGGTATCTTGATTGTCGAGCTGATTGTAACGGCTCGGGGTGCGATGAGTGCTCGACTCGCCGTCTAAATCCTTGTCCGAGGAAATGAGATAGTTGACACCGTCGACGTAGTTGCTATCGGGCTCAGAGTTGTTTCTCACTTTGTTTTTGTGGTGCTTCTTGCCCTTGACGCGACGCGATGCTTCGTCATCTTCGTAATCGTCGTACGGGAGCTTGCCGTGATACCCCGGGTGGGGTGGGTAAGGTGGCTGATTGTAAAAATTTGGATAGTAGCTAGAATATGGGGGTTGGTAAAAATAGAACGGGTAGGCACCTGCACCACCGAATGGCATGGGACCAGCTCCCAGGGGACTACCCATTCCCAAAGCTGGATTCAAGCCTAAAGCACCAGCAGACAGTGGCCCAAGGCCAGACGTCGAGCCCAAGCCAGCGGTATGTCCTAGAGCAGGAGTAGCTGATGATCCGGACGAAGATGATCCAGCTCCCGAGGAAGATGCCGAGCTAGCTTGGTTTGCGAAATTGGTCAAGGCAGCATTTGAAAATGCAGAAGAGGCCGTGCCATAGCCCGACGCAGGACTGTACGACCCGAACAAGTTGGTGTATGGGCTACCACTTGCGTAGGATGAAAGAGCACTCGGATACAGAGGAGAACCTTGAGCTCCGCTTGTCGTTTTTGTCAAACTATCGTAGGATGGATAATACGAATTTCCATAACTAGCGGAGTAAGAGTCACGAGCATCAGTCTTGGGCGCGTAAAGTTCAGGAGAGTAATGCAGAAGCCCTTGGCCTTGACCTGACTGACTTGTATGCGGATGATGATGAAGTTGCTGCTGCTGCTGCTGAGACGTTTGCTCGAGGCCTCGTTTCATCAGCTTGGGATTGTAAGGATACACTGGGTATATGGGTAAGAAAGGTTCATCATTAGGATTTGTGCTCTTGCGAAGCCGCTGCGTACAGATTACTGCTGGCGAAAGCAGCAATAGTATCTACAAAATGAATAAATTTTATACAAAATTTGTGTCACGTATTTCATTTAAAATCTGAAAAAAAAATACTAACGATGAACTTCATGATGGATTCGCCTTTGACCTTCGATAATTTTATGTATAATTAAACGACGAGTTACATCGAATTATTTGCACATTTAAACAAAACGAAATATGATTAAAATTTCAAACTGCGCTCGCACTCACTGAATTTTTCCAACCTCACGACTACACGGTTCGACGTTCAATGACGGATCAGTCGACATTGAATTTCTCCTTTATACCACTGGACCCTAGAAAAATCGTCGAGAACTAGTTTGTTAGTCCGCTGTGATCACACACGTGCACGGCTGCATGGTCAGCATCGACAGTGTGTAGGTATGGCTGTTTGAGCTACACATGCCTGTGTGTGTGTGTGTGTGTGTGTGTGTGTGTGTGCGTGTGCAGGTTCGCATTAGTGTGAGAAACACACCGACGACATTGCACGTTAATACTACTACCATTACTACTACTACCGCTACTACAACTACTATTAGTACTCGTGAGCAGTGAAAACGGAGACATTGATTCCCGCAAGATAGGACCGGTGTATCTTGTCGCACATTGCTTTACAAGAGAAACATACGTATGGAGTGAATCATGCACAGCTTTTGTGAGTCTCGCAACGACGGATAGCAATCATAACTTAGCGAGAACGAGAGTGCCGTTTGCTCCATATAAATGATCCGAGTGAAATGCAAGTTATACATATTACGTGCGCACATTTTACGTATGCCCGTGTATGGAATACACTAATACGCGGACGAGAGAGAGAATGACGTGGATTGAATAGCACCGAGCTTTTTTGTCAACGAAAAGCTGCCTATCGAATTAAAAATAGCATCTCGATAAAAAGTCTATCAGATCCGTTCGTTCAAATATCATATCGTGTACTAAATTTCACCGCCTTCGAGGACTTTTCGTTACCAATTTTCTTACAATTTAATAATAATCAACGGCTATCAGTGTGATCAGCACTTAGAAGCGAAACGATATTATTGCTACCGACTTCAGTATCTACAAAATCAGCCAATTGTACTATTAGCCAAAATCTCATCAGTATATTTCATTATAAATAAAGAAAGTAAAATTATTATAAGATTGGGAGACTCTCAAGAAATAGTTACAATGCGAAAACGATTTCTCAATTTCCTTCCTTTGGTATAGAATTTTCTCGATACTATACGAGGAATAGGTGTGAGTACGTCTATAAAGGCGCTGCGCGCTCAAAGATACATTTGTTCGAGTGTGCAGCGCAGTACGAGGGCGTATATGAATATAGATATACAGTTAGCAAGAGCCGCGCAAAATTACCCAGAGATTAGAGCGAGCGTTAGCATTGTTCCTCCTCTCCCTTCGTTCATGAAATTCAGCATCGATCGGAATCACTTTCTTCTCGCTTCCTTTTCCTTCGGCGAGACTACTACTACTGCAGCTAGTACCAGTACTAGAGCTGTTATTTCGAAAGCGGCCTGATCGAGAAAAAGATCTGTCTCTCCTGGCTTGGCAACGAAAAAAGAAATGGTTTCGCTCTTGATTCAACTTTTTTATTTCTGCAAAACTCGGCTATCTTGTTTCGAGGTGACACCGCGCGCGCATGCTCGCATTTCAGTTCTCATCGAGAAGTCGCAGTACCCGTTGTTGTTATTGCTCCAGCCACTGTCGCTGTGTGGCGGCTGCTGTATTTTAGCTTTTACTTTCACTCCGAGTGATGCGAGCCAACAAAACTGAATGTGATTATGAGAGAGAAATGAAGGGGGATAGAGAGAATAAATGAGAGAGTGTCTTTGATAGGCGTTGACGACCACACCTTACTTTTACACCTGCTATACAATATCTTTATTCGATAGTTAAATATTAAACTTCTTATAACTATGTTTGTATACGATGATGATTTGAAATTAAAATACCTGTTTTAAATTGTTTATTTCATGTGCTAAGACTTATTTCGAATATAACGAATAAGATATATTTCGTTATAAGATTTATTTCGAATGCAATGACTCTCATTTTCCGAAATTTTCAAAAAACATTCAAATTATGGCTTATTCAAGTTACACAGTTATAAAGGATTCTGCTCCATTTTGTGAACCAGTTAAAATTGCATCTCAAAATTAGAGTTCGATCTCTTTATACTTGAAAGATAAAACGTTGAATTCAAATTTTTAATAACCGTGGAAGTGGATTATGAGAGCGATTTTCCCCTACTCGACGTCAAAAGTCCGCTCGTACGCATACTCGCACGTATAGCGGTTTACTACTCTGCAGGGTGGAAATGCTGCTGAGCGCGATCACGATGTAACTTGAAAGCATTTCAAAAGAATAATTGCATACTTAAATAATATTTTATTTTCCATACTCTGCTAATATAATATATTAGTAATAATATTCGCATGTGTAGTACAACAGAAAAAATTGTAGATAACTTTTAAAATACGTACAAAAAGATTTTCGTGCAAGTATTTAATAAGGGCTATAATCAAATTTATAAAATTATCAAAATCCGATGATTTAACATGTGCTTTCGCGTGAATCGTTTATGAGTACTCACATTAATTGCCTCTTCAAGAAACAGTGAAAGTATAAACAAAAAATTATTGTCAGTCGAACGTTAAAACTAGAGCTGCTTCGGTGCAATTAGAAACACGAACTTCGGCCGAGAAAACGCTCGAGTATAAAAACTGAGATAAACGTTTGGAAACGTTACGCAAACGATACTATTAATGCTTATATATATATTTCCAACGAAAATGCTCCATTTTACAGCTTTAATACTGAAATGTATGTTTTTATCATTACGTAGTATTAATAATTCATAGTGACGAACATTGTCAAGTATTCATGTACTTTTATTAAAAGTGATAAATGAACTGTTGGTTTTGCTCCGAATCCCTCAGTATCAGTGACGATCGAGAGAATTTCGTTCGAGACGTTTTTATAAAGCAACTTTCTGTAACGCGTGTAATCATGTTTTGGAATGAAAAAGAAAGCAAAAATAAGTTAACTGCGTTTCCACTATAGAGAATTACAGTCATTATATACTTCTTTTGCTACAACTATGGTGTCTTTTAAATTAATAGTACTCATTCAATTATTTTCATCAGGTGTGTGAATATTGACATATTATCTGGATTTTTTACTTAATTTTTCCCTATCGCATAGTATTCGCGATTTCATATTCTTGTATAAGAGGTGGAGTTTTTGGAAATAATAATTATATTCTTTGATTTAATTGCTTTTATTGCAAACAACAATAAGCGTATAACAATATTTTCATTTTTATTTAAATGTATTACTTAAAACATCACATAAAATAAATTCACATAATAACTTAACTATAACAGTAACATATGTTTACAAAGTATAAAAATGTGTATAAAAAAATTCTCACAATAAATACTTAAACTAAAATCCTGAGAAAATGTATTGCACGTAAATTTTAATTTTACACAGTCTTTGAAATTCAGTATATTTTGATTAAAACAGAATAAATAATGAAGAAGAACTCATGCAAGATTGGAACAAAGATAATAATGAACAACTGAACATACAGTAAGAACATGAGACTCCTTTTTTTTTATAGCGAGGAAGTTTTCGCTATTTTTTCATTTTCTATTAGGTACAGAATAAGAAATTGTGTCATAAGTTGAGTCTGCGTTAGATTCAGCGTTATCAAATAAGGATTTGGTAGGATACTTTTGATATCGAGGATAATAACTTGAATATGAACTACCTGAATCAGATATTTCTTCAAACAAACTTGATGGTTCTTGAGACGAATGAAAATCTATTGAGTTTGACAAAGTTGAAATTGAATCGGTCGGTAAATCTTTAAATGGTGACTCTTCTGTGAATTGAGCATTGCTAGGAGATCTGAAATTCGAATGTGCGTCCGAGTATGGCATTGCACCTGGTCTGAAATTATTTTCAGGCCCTTTAAAAGTAAAGTCAGATTGAAAAGAAGAACTGGAGCTTGGAAATACACTTTTTAAATGTGTGAAAGCCGAACTGTCGGATGATTGCCCACGACCAGCAAAAGGCCCTTTATGTGTGTGAGAATTTAAACTTGAACTATAAGATGATTGACTAGGAATACCATAGCTCGTGGAGGGAAACGAGTAAGACATTACTGGTTGACCGTAGCTATTTAACGTATGTTTTGTTTGATGAGAATGCGATGAATGAGGAAATGAACTCTTCATACTATGCGAATTGGCACGAAGGGAATTTACACTCGATGGTGTCACAAAATTCATACCCGAATTGACGTGACTAAGTTTCATGGGCACGCCTCGAGGATGAGAATCATGATTTGCATAAGTACTACCTTCCGAAGAAGCAGGCACGTATTTACTAAAATCTTTACCGGTAAAACTAGAAGATGGTGATGATTGAGGGGACGACGACATGGATAATTGATAATTATTAGACGTAGGTGAATTACTCGAACTAGATAAATTATAAGTCAAGTAGGATGAAGATGGTACAGAAATGGTATAAGTTGGCGACGATGGCGAGGCGACTAAGGACTGCATACTGTAACTAGAGCCACTTTCGCCTGGGTGCGTGGCCGATGGAGCAATGACATAATTCGTAGAAGGGGTATTCGACGCCGACTGCGACAATAGCGATGCCGGCAAACCATAAGAAGCGCCTCTATTATGCGATATCAATGAATTAATTGTGTTACTGAGCGTGGACGGTGCCAGGTTTAATGCCTGATGCCCCTGCGAGTAATCTCCCTGCCCAAGTACAACTGCGTAATTAGCACCCAATTGCGATGGTGATATGAGCAATGGTTTGTGAATCGACGACGGTGAGCCATAAGTCGATCCTTGAGATAAAATAGCTATCTGGCCAGTTTTTTCAGGGCTAAACAATCCCAAACTGCTCGGAGAGTATGAGTTGAGCGTGTTTGATTGCCCGCCGAGGATAGATGCAAAATTTGTACTAGCGGAAGGTTGATTATAAACTGTGTTTCCTAAATTAGTAGCCGAATGTCCGAAAGCCGAGTTGCCGAGATTCGAAGTAACTTGAGCTTGGCCGAATACTGAATTTCCTAGTACACTGGGCGTCTGACTGAAAGCCGAGTTATCAAAATTACTCACGATTTGCCCCAGCCCGGCATGACCTATGCCACCGGTAGATTGACCGAAAGCAGAATTACCTAAATTCAAAGTTTGTTTCAGAGCATTATGATTATCTAAATTGGCAAGATTCTGCGAACCATATGAAGATAGGCCCGGCGATAGTTGAGCTTGAAGATTATAAGAATTTTGTCCTAGAGCATTGCTTATTAGACTAGCGCTACCGTGACTTCCGTATCCACTCAATGCAGACACACCATGACTGTATGCCGGGGAAGCTTGCACAGGTGCTAATTGTAAATTTGCGAAAGAAGATCCAGTGAAAGGTAGGTTAAAAGGATAATCTGATATTCCTCTTTTATTTTTGGTGAATCTGAATTTTTTTTGATGATTATTTTCTCGGCGAAAAAATCGATTTTCTTTACAGGACACAGATGATAGTGCCACTGCTATCAGTCCTAAGAATATCTGAAAATGTTGAAATTCATTAATTTAATCTAATGAATAAAACTATCAAATAAGGGAATTAAATATTCAAAGTAAGTAATTATGATAAGAATACGAATAAGACTAAAATAAAGTATAAACTCACTAAAGCCCGCATGTCTCATGCGAGAATCGCGAATAGTATAACTATACTTAGCGATGCACTATTTTATTCCGAGTATTAGCCACTACCGTTTGAATTAAAGTGGCAAAGTCGCTCTGATGCCATTACTGACCGGTAGAAACATTTTATATCAAGATCCCCTCTTGTTGTTGTTGTCGTCGTCGTCGTCGTCATCTTACCTTGCACTTACTCTCACGAAGGTGAAGGTAAGCAGGTCTGGTATACATGCCACATACCGTCACACATTCAACACGTTTCTCTATAAACATAATACATAGATATCGATTGTATCTTTACTAATGAAATTTACTCCATTAATTCACTGTACCGGAAACATACATGCATTAAGTGAAAAGCATGATTGATACGTTAATTCGACAGAGACGTACAGAGCCAAGTTGCCCTGCTAACTTTTCAGTTGCCTCGATCGCTTCGTTGAAACTAAGTGACAAATTGAAAAATTTTAATATTTCGCATTGTGTCATAGCAGGTAAAGCGCGTGATAATTTTAAACAGCCTGCTAATTTTAAAATCAATTATATATGCTCTCTAGATTTTCATTCAATTGACAACAAAAGCGAGTATTGTATGAATTTCGCTGCATAAATGGAATAATTAATTATTTACAGAGATAATAATAAAATTGACAATGTACTTATTGAAAATTCAAATTTCAAAATTGTCGACTTATTTTGAGATCAATTTTCCATTAAAATATTTTCTGGCATTGGCGTTCTGCAATATATATTTGAAGTTATCTCTTTAAATATCTCACTTATTAACAATTCTAGTTCGAGAATAGTAAAAATATAGTATTTTTTATTTCATCGGATTATTCTTTGACTTATACTTCATACATTTTTAAGATAGAAGAACTCGGAAAATTTTCGTAAGAAATGCTGATTTAATCAACAATGAATTAGTATCTTCCCAATTTGATATGTCAGCAAGGTAAGTTTTCAATGATTTTAAATGAGATTTCACAAACACGATATATTTGGTATGATCGTAAGACGTTCTCAACTTGCAAAACTAGTAAACTTGAGCTGTATATATAAGTTTAGTATAGTAAAAGCGCATAAGAACTTCTAGTCTAGTATGGTAACAAGAGACGAAGCAGTTGAGGCATGTCATACGTTGTTTATACGTGTTTGAGAATATGAAAAGAAAAGTGAGAGTTTCATTAATGTACATCGCGAGTTTATCTAGTTCAATTTAAAATTATTTGAGGTATTTCTTAGTTATTACAAGATTTATGAACGCTGAAAAGTAAACAATTTTGATGACTTCTCTTCAGAGTATTCTTAGTGGAAATAAATTACTCTTTTTTATTGATAAAACAATCCAACCAACAAAAAATTTGTTCATATAAAGACCCAGTTTATTTCATTCTCTTCATAATAAATTTTTTAGTTTTTCAGAATATAATCATTCAAATTTATTACTATTCTATAGACGAGAATAAGAATAAATTTTGAAAGCATTGATGCGCCTGTGTTTCTCATTTTTCTAACGCTGCATGTCGATCGGGTAAACATGTTGCAGGCGACAGCTTTCATATTATAAGTTCATTTACTAGTTCATCATTTTTATTTTTCTCATTATTTTGTATTATATAGTTCAATCACAATTTTAAATCCACTTATATAAAAACATTTATTTACATTTTATGAAATAGATTTATTATTATTATAACGTAAAAAATATTTTATAATTGAGAATAACAATTTTTTTAATAATTATAATACAACTTTTTTATCAATGTATTTATTATTTAAAGATTGGTATAGCTTATCGTTTAGGTCGTGAAGATCTTTTTTGGGCTAATGGTGATTTATAATTCCAAGTAAGTGTTTGAGCAGTTTGACCTACTGGTCTTACCTCATTAGGTTGATAATAAGCGAAGAATAAATTGTTTGTGTTTGGATTAAGAGCTGCATTAAAAGCACCTGGATGATGTGCTTGATTAACTAAATAAGCATTAGCTGAGTTAGAATTCGTTGTCAACGGAACAATTCCTAGAGGGAGACTAAAGTGATGAGGATGGGTAATTTCTTCTGGATGATGAATGGGACTTGTTGACACATGTGTCAACTGTTGTTCTCGTGCAAACGGAAAAGGTAAACTTATGTAAGAGGGTGAATTTTTAGAAACATCTACAGAAGTAATTTCTTGAAAAGCAGACCCCGGTGTGGGAATAAATCCACTTGACGGGAATAGTGATGGATTTACAATTGATGGGTTAAGTCCTTCTTGAGATGATGAAGAAACTTCTGATGCTACTCCTTCAGATTTTCCTATTTCATGATTGCTTGTTGTTACCTGCGATTGTTTTATTTATAATATTCATTGTAATAGTAGCGCTTCAAATTATCTATGGAAAATAAAAACTTACCGTTATTGGGTTTTGTTGAGGTGATATTTGATGGAAAGAAATGTGAGGGTTACTTTTTTGATTTTGATTATTGTTTTCTGAATATTGAAATGAATTATCTTGATTAGTCAAAGTTTGTAATTGTGCAACTATTTTAGCGTGTTTTAAAAATTGCTGTTCATTGTAAAAATTGGGTAAAGTTTGATGTTCTTGCAAATGCACAGGATAATTATTTTCAAAATTTTCTGGTTGACCATTCACATGATTGATTTGCAAATGTTCAATCTGTCTCGGATTTTGATTTAGTAATCTCAATTGTTCAGCATTGGGAGCATAATTCTGATTCAGAGCTGGTGCACCATAAAGATTTGATATTGCCTGAGCATTTTGAGTCAAAAAATGTGCTGCATCCGATATATGATGGTTCAGATTTTCATTCTGAATAATTTGTTGTTGTTGTTGTTGCTGCTGCTGCTGTAATTGAGTTGTAAGCTGATTTACGTTATGTGCAATATGGTTTTTATAGAAAAGTTCGGGGCTATAAATTGGCAGTTTTTGATTTCTCGGAGGTAGATAGTTAGCTGTATTTTGCCCAAATGGTTGATCATTTTGACTAGATATCGGACTTACTTCAATAAAATCAGTAAATTTTATTGGGCTTGGTATACCTTGGGCAACAATAGAATCTTTTGTGTACTGATCATTTAATATCGGCTTCATCAAATTAAGATGTTCTTTTATTGAACTCATTGGATTCGGTGGCCCATATTGACTAAATGGACGTCGAATGTGATTCCTCAGTTTATTTTGAAATTGGTTTCGATATTTATGGATTCCAAATTTACTGTGCTTTGCTCGAATTAAATGTAGTGGTTTTTTAAAAAATAGATGAATAAAATCTTTTCTGTCTTCAGCTTTTAAATTTTCTCGCAAAATTCGATACGCATCAAAATTATTCAATTCTGCTGATTTATCAATTAGGAATTCCGTCGATGGGGCAGCTTGATGTGCTAGTACTGAACATATATTGATCAATACTAGCTTTAGTACCTGTAAAGTCATTTTACAAAATCAAATAAAGGCATTGAAAATCCATTAGTTTTATAAAACTTTCTTTTTATCCGAAAAATTTTTTTTTGAGCAGTATGTTGAAAATAAAATAAGAAATAATGATCTTTAAACGATTGATATTCAAAGCTAACGAACATTTGAAATCGAATCAAATATTTAAATATTGAAAATGAGAAATAAGAGTTTGGAAGTAATATCAAAATACATTCAAACTTACCAATAATAATTACATGCTTTTTAGAATTCAAATTGCATTGTTTAAAACTCTGATAAGTTTATTTTGCACTGAGATACAGCTGTTTCCGTGAGCCTTTTTCCTATATTTTACGCGTTAAAGTTTTTCTTCTTTTTGCGTTTTCTGGAAAGTTATGTTTTTGGTTACCTTTCGTAACTTACAGAGGGTACCGTTTGAGCTCTATCACCAGGGTCGCATAAACTTCTTCAGAAAATCAATGCTTACGTCCGTCAACACTTTGAAAGTGATCGAACACACAGATTGCTTTCCATGAACAGTTGAACACACATTTTTTTCATTTTTCATTATTTGACGAAATTAAATCATAAAAGTATCGTTTGAGTGTAACTTATGAGTTTGATCCCTCCCAAAGTGCGTGCGGCCGTAAGCATTTATGTTCAGAAGAAGTATATGCAACCCTAGTGATAGAGCGGTATCAAACGGTACTCAAGTGACCAAAAACATAACTTTCCAGAAAATGCAAAAGAAGAAAAAATTTAACACGTAAAGTACACGAAAAAGACTCACGTGAATAGCTGCATCTCAGTAAATAATCAAAATCTTAAAGTTTTGACCAATGCGATAAGAAAAGAAAAAAAAACTACAAAAAAATCCTACAAAAAATTTTTAAGTTTAAGATGTATAAAAACCCTTAACTTTAATTTGGAATTTAATAATTGAATACAATTTCTGCTTGAGTAGCATGCAGTAAACAAAAATGTATGTTTCTTAATTTTTTTTAAAGAAAATAACACTTCTTACTAAGTTGTATTTCATGGTTTCTTCAATCACAGAACGAGCTTGTACACGTCAAAAGATCACATTTTTCAAACTATATCATTTATGATATCTTAAGTTTGATTTAGTTATAGCGTGATTTACACTACTTTTAACACGTCGTTATTTACACTAGCTTAAGAGTTTTTACTTTATAGCAAGACTGATCCTCAAGTACTGGAGCCAATTGTCGGCATGTCGCATGTATAAATACACTTGGGTCACGACCACACACGAATTACAATGGACTTTCTTGTTAACTTTCATCGGCTAAAGTTGGCCTCAGAAATGGTAATATAAAGTTGAATTGAAAAAATAAATTTTACATTTAAATCCTTTTTATATAATAGATCATGGAAGTTCTTGACATATTGGCTGTAACTTCTATTTTTTTATCACTTATTATCAAAACATAATTTTCATTTGAAATCTCAATAATTACAAATTAATCAATGTTGTATAATGGATAATTATTTTCCTATAAGATTATGTTCATTCAATTTAAATAAAACTATAAATATTATCGATGCATTGATTATAGTTTTATGCAAGTATATGTGACACATTTTTTTCAAATTTATGAATAAATAAGAAGGCCCCATTCCACTCACGCATCGAAATCATTTACATACAGTGAAAGTTACAACGTTTTTTTAGTTACCTACTGCAAATCAAAAAATGACCCCAAAAATTATTCAAAATGGAAATTGAATAATTATTCGACTCATGTTCACAAGTTATTATTTTTTAAAATTTTATTTACTCATTAATAAAGTATTAAATAGCTACTTGAAAAATAAATTACATTCAACTGACATTTTCAAATTATTTTTTCTTTTATTACTTCCAGTGTTTTTAAAAAAGCATAACACATGAATAAATCAGAAATGACAAATAAAATTGGTTATTTATCCTGCGATATATGGAGTGTAGTAGCTAGGATAGTAGGCTGCCCCATAAGTCGTAAAAGCATAGGGATAGCTGTAAGCCGAGGCGTAATAAGGGTATCCGTAAGCCGCGGTGTAGGGCGCAGTGTACAGTATTCCGCGCTTGTTTCTCGGCTCCGCAGCTTGCCGCACCTCGGGCTCAGGATGATTGGGATTGAGCTCGCTGCTTACTTGTTCGGCTATTGGCAACCTGCCAGCGTAAGCTGCAGCGATGAAAGCCAGAAGAAGGAATACCTGTAGAATCATAAGTACGTTAGCTACTGTGTAGTTTCTATTTTTTCTTTTTAACATTTCTTCGAGATTTGTTGATTTCAAATAAGCTCGTTCAGAAATTATTTATGTTTGAACATGATATGATTCGTAATTCAATAATTTACAATGAAAAAAATGTGTCATAAATTCTACCGATGTTTGATGGCGAAGTAATTATTTTTTATGAAGTATTGAGAAAAAAATAATAATTTTACTATGATTTATCATATTGTAATAAGCTATAATGTTAAAAAGGTCAATATGTTTCATTCTCACTTGAAACTTTAAGATAATTTTTAAATTTTTCACTGATATCCAGAATCATTTGTGATTTTAGCATTTTAGAAGTTTGGCAAAAACGATTTTTATTTACAAATACTTACTATTGAAGATTTCATTTTTTAGAAAAGAGTTGACGTGCTTCAAATGACTGAGATCACTCGTGAATGATAGTTAACAGCTGAATGAGACTCCTCAATCTGGAGCTTTGATTTTTATACTCATCGCAATTGTCGTGCTTGACGAAATGATTTTTGCATTCAAATGTGGCTCTTGACGGGCGAAAATCTTCGCAGTAGTCGAAGATTGATCAATCCTCCGAGGACAAGTGTACGTCCCGGGATTTATGCAGGCACGTGCTGTACGTGCATTATAATCCAAGGAGGTCCTCATAATAAGCAATCCATTGAGTAGAGCAAGGCATTTATGTCTACGTTATTATGCGAGCATGTGAATGTGCGTGCGTTGGAGAAGTTAGTCAAAAACACATGTATGCATATATTTGAACCTTTGGCAAGGCGCCAGCGCACAAGAGTAGCTGAAAGTTTTACGATTGCCGTGTTAGCTCGTGCAATAAACTTTTGAATATTATGGTGCATAACACAATAAGTTTCGTCCTCTATGCCGCGTATTTATCATTAATATTATGTCACACGATGTGACTAGACGGCGACGCAAGACTTGCCATTGATACCCGACACGCAGCATATATCATCCTTGTGCACGTACCCACATGATTACTGACACCCCGGACTTACAATGAATATTAATTAATAATAGTTTAACCTTACGATTACTTTTCTTATGTAATATTGAGACTGATTACATTAATTTGATTATTGATGTAGCTGAATTGAGTTTAATGGTAAGCTCCATCACTGAATGAAACTTTTTGAGAATCAATTTTCCGTTTCGCTGTTTTCAATGGAAAATTGTAAAAATTTTCAATGAAAAGCTCTTCATAATCAACAGTTTCAAAGTTGGCGTCAAGCCAGCTTTATTATTTTCATTGATCTTGATTCTCGAGAAACGATCAGCTTCTGCTGCACATGCGCAGTGACGTACAAGAAGTGCTGTCTGCTGTGTGTATACATAAAATGTTGCGACTAGTTGCGTAGAAATTTTGTGTACAAACAACTCGTCCCCAACTTTTAGATTATCCATGTTAAACAATAAAATAAAGTGAACATTTTGTAAAATGTCAAGATACACTAGTTTTCCATCTGTTTTCGGGATTTCAATGGGAATACTAACATGTGGTTTTATATACAGGTCTGTGAATATTACTATAATTCTAACCTTTCAATACTGCCTTTTGCGTTATTAAATCATAACATTCTAAAACATTTTTGGTTTTAATATGATCATATAACTAAAACAATTGTATTTCCTAATGTTGCTTCATTTCTTTTATTTTGCTAGATTAAAATCATTACTTTATTGCAGGGAGAGTTTAATATTGAAAGACATAAAAGCAGAGCGAGATAGAATCGATGCATCACTAGAAAATCCTGAAGCTAGACGTATGTTAGAAGCTGAACTACTCAGAGCAAAACAATTGAAAAATCAAAAATCAACTGTACAATGATAAGAAATAGCCGTATAGTCTACATTGACCTTGTATATATCAAATAAAACTATTTTAGTATAAAAGCAGGTCTGCCAACGTTATTTACACAATTTTATATAAATAACCTACACGTATAAAACATTTCATAAAAGCAAGGACCGTCTTCATAACAATTTTTTATTCCATTTAAATAAAACATTTAGCTTAAATTATTTATCTACCCTCAAAGTTATGATTATATATCATTGACCTATATTTTATTTCTGATTTTATATTAGAATTCAGGATACATGACGTCTCCAAGACATTACGTAAGAGAATCGATGCTTGAATTCCAGTTCGATTGGAATTCCAAGAGTGCTTTCGATAATCAAAGTATGTTACTGCAATGGCATATTGAATTTTCAAAATACGCCTGACAATAATGCAGATTATATTATGTTAAAAATTAAAGGTGTTCTTATTTATTCAGAAAAATAAAATCGTATCGGTTTGAAAACAACGACCGAGAAGAAGTTGTATCTCAGTAACTGTTGATAAATAATTCGTGATTTTATTCAAAACATTAATCACTGACCGAATAATACGCACGAGTTCCAAGTTTGAAATATTTAGCAGGGAGTTAAATCAATCACGTTCACGCGTCTTCACAAATTTTACGTTTATTCTGAGCTTTATTTGTTTTAAAAATAAAAAAAACTATAATAAATAAATTTCTTCTTATAATTCTAATAACGTCACAAAAGATACGCATATGAATACACAAGTCCTAGGTCATGTATAAAAGCAATGAGAAAGTTCCAACAGGGTTACACGTGACAAAATTTCTTATTCGCCTTAAGTTCGTTATACAAAAAATGAGTACAATCAGCGTATCTTGCGAATACTGAAAAGTAAATAAGGCACGAAATACGAATGACACGAAATATTTTTGGATGCGACTCGTGAAAATGAAGTAAATGAAAAAAATATCGTGTTTCAAATTTATTTTTCATTTTTTATTATGATTTACGTTTAACATTTGAACTAGTCGTTTATTTTTTAATTTATTTTCAATTGATAGTCAGTTGTAAACGGTTGTATTCAATAAAAATAAACATCCTTTAATCCCGAGCTGCATCATTGTACAGGGTGAATATTTCAAGCTTCTTAATTCATTAAGAAACACATTATAAAAACGTACAAAATAATAAAAATATTTATTTTTGTTAATATATATTACTGAGAGCAAATGGATAGATGTTTGGAGTATTGAAACGTACGGAAACGGATGATCATTAAAATATTGTCACGTATAAGTAAATGTTTTCAATAAATTAAAATTCTGTTTTAAAACCTTTCAGAGATACTTTGATTATAGTGATGATTTTCAACTGAAAGTCAAAATCCAGGCAAGGGTAACCAAATATTTTGTAATATTTTGAAAATATACTAATTCATTGAAATATAGTTGCACTTTCAATCGATACAGTACTTTAATTTATAAGTATTTATTATTGCAAGCATTCATCGAACCAATTTTTGGCCCGTTTGGCCAATTGAATTAACAATATTTGATAAGTCGAGTTTTGAATTTGTCGATAGGATGCTTTGATGGAATCATTTTCCATGCTAGATTTATTGCAATTGTCATTGTGCTCAAAACTTGACTGCAAATAAATAAGTCTTTATATTATAGTTGAAAATAAGGTTGACGAATATGAAATCGACCTAGATTCATTCGATAATGATAAACATATATATATGTACTCGTATACAGATGTTTTGCATCATTGAGCTCAAGAAAGTCTCTTCAATGGCTCATAAACGGTCAATGAACCGTGACCATGTAAGTCGAGCAAAAAGAAAATTAAATTGCAATCTTATACGGATGAACGTACGGCTCGGTGTCGATAGTGGGTGGGAGGATACGCGGTAAGAAAACAAAAAACAAATCGAGTCAAAACAAAATGCGCGTTTCTCTCTCTCTCTATTTCTCCGTCTGTCGCGCCCAGAGCAGCTGCACACACCTTCGGGCATCATCTCGGATGCATAAAATATATCTGCATAGGCTCGCGTACCCGCGCCTGCACGAGGCCAAGATGGGAACTTGTTCTCAAGTCTGCGCCGAAGATACTCCGATCGTATACAATTGGCCGTAGGTATAATGTAAAGCCGAAGAGAGGCCGAAGAGGAGAGCGCGTCGAAGTGGTAGTGGGCGCATTCCTCGCGCTGGAATTCCACATTCAGTCGGTGTATAGGTAGCTTACACACACGCGCTCTCGTTGGCGAGAGAGGCACCTTTTACACATGCAGGCGCGTTCACCTTATACGCGGGTAAACACACACACACACACACACACACACACACACACACACACACGGACGCACTCGCGCTCGTTGAAACGTTTATACCGGCACGAGTGAGTGTACGCGCGCGAGGCAGAGAGCCGAGCGTCGCGGCTTCTTTCTAAAGTCCAGTCTTTGCAGCGTCGCGTGGAGTCAAAGTAAGTGAGTTTATCCGCGAATCCACGTATATACCGCGAGCCAAGTTTTGCCTTTTCTGCGCTTGTGTTTAATTTGCCTATACGTGCGTTCAAGTTGTGCCCTTTGATGGAGTTGTTGTAAGCTTAGCCCTATATCGAGGGCAAGTGAGCTTTTTCAAAGCCTGTGGGCCGCGAGTGCGCCAATCGCTTAGCGACATCCAAGGTGCTTCCTTAACTCGTGCTCTGTGTGCTCCGAGCTGCTGTGTCCCGAGCAACTTCCTACGTAAATTGCAACTAATTGAAGCTTCAAGGACTAGCTACTGCTGTACTAGCCACTCCTGCGACTTGTCGTTACCTGTCAAACTGGCGCGCTTACACTTTGCGGATAGTTGAGTATTTAGAGGTGAGTACCTTGACTAAACTCCAAAAGAATACGTCTAGGACGTGTAGTTGCAAATTCTGATGACTCATCTAACTCTAATCAAGTTGCTCTTGCCACCAAGAGACCAACATTAAACGGTATGGTTTTGCTAATTCAATAACCTTTGATCGCGGGTGATTTTGATTAGTAGCTGATAGATGAATAGTTTCACGGGCTTGTAAACCATCGAATCTAGCGTCATTTATACCTGGCATTAATGGTAATGGCTGTACATTTCTTGTCATAATAAATTTACTCAATTTTCAACACTCGGACGAAAATACGTAAGCGTGTCTTTATAAATACATGGATTCATAAAAATGTTTTTATGTATCTTGAGAAATCAACTGTATCCTCTGCATTCCGGTATCAAAACGTCGGCACTTTTTAAGAGTCATAAAACCAACTCGAAAAAAATGCGTATTTATAAACGCGCGAGTTTCCTCGCGAACGTATGTGGTTGAAGCAGGTGAACGGGTCTTCAATTGTGGGACTGCAGCCTGCAAGGTAACTCATTTAAATCCAAGTATCTTGAGGTATTTTCATGGCTGTAGGCTTGAAAAGTAAAAGAGCTCGCACGGCTTATATAAAGTAACGATACATTTTTATGAATGTTTCGAGAGGTTTTCGAGTTTTTAAGTTATTATTATTACAATTAAAGATTCAGTCAACTACAACCGAGCGTCTTATTATAATTGAGATTCGTGACCTTGATTTTCTTTTTTTAATTTATTATTGACAATTGATTATTTATTTGTAGAATCATGCAAAGAAATTATTTTTAATTTGAATAAGAATATTTAAATTGTACAAACTTAGTCTCCGCTTTGAAAAACGATACGTATGTACGTGCTCAGTTACAAGTGTTTGATTTTTACAGTAAGCACTGTCAGGTTTTTGCGTGGTTTTGCGGCTTTTAATCTTCTTGTGCTGATTTTGTTGCATAACCTCAACGAATCCGCAAGGTATTTTAAAGGCTCATACTTTAATCAAGTATTTTGAATAATTTTGTAATGTAAAAAATGTAAATAAATTTAATTCTTATCTTATTACTCAAATATTACTGGTAAATAAAACTTAATTACTAACACTAACTGACAATCAATTAAAGAATTGCATTCCATGTGTACAATAAAAATGTTTCTTCAATTAAATCGTAGGTAAACAGTCTACAGAGTTGAGAATACACATTATAAACTGTCATTTATTCAGAATTACTGCGCATGGCACTGTGAGATTAGAAAATAATTAGAAATCTCATCTAAAGTTGTGGATCAGCCTGTTATATTCCAAATAAGTCTCTTTCCGATCTCTAGAATCTACAATGAGCGAAAATAATTATTTGATATCACGCGAGTGAAAGTATTATCAAATCACACACTGCACGAGTGTACGTGTACACCTCGAATGATGCGCTCACGGTACGTGCTCGAGCTCGCATAAGTTTTTGCTACTTTTATTTCATATCACATTGAAGCAGCTCGATAATTGAACTATTTCACGACATCAATGTGTTTTCGAAATTCAATATTTGAACACGAAGTCATTGTAAAAAAGCAATTCATTTTTAGCTGTGGAATAATATATCCAGGCGATGATAGAAATTTGCATATCCTGCAACATGTAAATGTTATTATTTGTTTTTCTTAATCTCAGCAAATAATAGTTATATAAATTTGATAAAATTGATTCGTTTTCTGTAAAAACATTTGATGAGAATAAAGTATAAAAACTTCTCATAACGCACGCATCTGGAGAATAAAACATTTATGTGCTTGGTGATGCGTAATTTTCTATTACAAAAATATCACATAAGATTAGTCATCTTTTTCACACAACATGCTTTAAGGACAAAGACTTCTTGCTATGGCATTTGTCACGTATTGCACGAACGTTTGCAATGTTATTGAGAATTCCGTATGTCTTTCATGCGTGAAGATTTTTTCTTTGCTATTCTTGTAAAAACAGCACAGATCCTTCTATTGAAAAAACTGATAATTTCTTGAATAAACTTTGCCCGCTTTATTTTACAGAAAAGTCGCCAAAAATGATGAAACTCTAAAAAGGTTGAAAAATGTTGTGCTAATTAAAAATCACTATACTTACCGCATCCCATTGAAATTTTAACGAAGTGCCATGATTTACGACGATTGTTCGACCATTAATTTGCCTACGCTCATATAAGTGTTAGCATTGTTTGAATAAATAACAATGAAAATTACAAGGCTGCTGTTTTATTGCGGTGACTCGTATTTATCATTCGAGCGACTGCACGCCCTGATTTTTTCAATATCTAATACGCATTTTAAACGCCAATGCGGAGCTCGACGACTGCGGAAATCCTGTTGATTGATCCTGGTTCGTCGCTTGTCGTGGTCACGGTCCACGTGCTGCACAGCAATCGAAAGACACTTGCCGGATACTTGGAGAAAGACACAGGACACGATAGCATTCAACGAACTGCAGTCGTTCGGGGATACGATTGATAAACTATATTGTGACTTTCAGTCTTGATACATTTATACCTATTCAATTGTCTTGTCAAAAAAGTTGTTTCTTTCCTTTCTTTATTCGTTCGAAAAATGACAATTACACTGTGCCTTTCACAGAGTAAGAGTATAAAATAAGATTAGACCATTAAAAATTACTGTCCTCCGATGCCACATAGAGCTAATTTCTATACTTATCGCGATTTTCTACGTAAAAGGTCAATCTATTTTCAAATGTGGTTTTGCGTAATTATACGCTACATAATGTTTTCTTCGAGGGCAATAGCTGTAACAAACAATAGATACAAAAGAGCTTCTCGGTAAGAACAGCGCATCATTACTTTATTGCCGAGAGTTGGCGAGGATTTTGAGAAAATCGTAAGATTTTCGCACAGTTGCAGTTATTTAACGCGTGTATAACTCCGCTCAACACATGTAATACTCGACTATCTCTTTACAAAATAGAAACCATAAGCTAGTGAAAAAAAAAATGAAAATAGTAAGAAGTATTAAGAGAGGAAACCAACTCGAGCTTTCACATTATATACATGTTACAGGTGATATTTAAGCAGTATAATATTAGCAAATACCGAATCGAATCATAGAATTTCAAACTCGATATCTTGTTGAAAATTTTTACACTTCAAAGTGTCAAGTACGAGTTTTTCGCAATATTATCACGAGTTATATATCACCGACGCGTCGAGGCACAAGTAAAATGTGAAAGGGAAAAGATTTTCGTTATTCGCTATACTAATGAAGCGAAAGCTTGTATGCTCACTGAAACCCCATACACGAATGTTATGAATGCACTTGGTGTAAATTTAACAAAAAGGAAATTATCAAAATAGTCGCTTACTCGTGCAATAATCGGAATAAATTTCACATTGTTCGTTGCTTCGCGCCCAACTTTTTTTTCTCTCTATCTCTCTCTCTCTCTCTAATCGCAGCCCCGCAGCTCGTAAAATCTCGCCAGGACAAATTATTTGGCGCACGCGGGCGAGATAATGTGAATCGCTCTCGTGCGCTCCCACTATATATAAATATATGAATTGTAGCGTGACTTTGATCGGCCGTAAACAAAAGTGTATAATAATATATTAACATCCATCAGAGTTTATAGCCTCGCGGAGAGGATCGCTGTTCTCTCTCCAAGAAAGCGTGCAAAAGCACTGCGGGCTCGCCTGTGTCGGGCGAGCGAATGGAGTGCCCGCCAAGACCAGTATATACATAGGTATAGCAGCGACGGCCGAGCTGCTGTCTACAGCAGCGGATCCTTATAGCCGTATATACTCCGCGCGAGGAAAAGTGTGTAGCAACGCCAGCATGACTTAAACTTTCTAAGCGCTTCACGTCCCATCAAATAGTATCAGGCGCGCGCGCGAACGCCATCGCCAGCCCGCGTACGTACACACATTATACATATATAGCTAAAAGTGCAGTCGAGTTAAGAGCGGCTGCTGTATAGGCGGCAAAATTATGTGCGTAGAGGCAGCAGTAGCAGTAGCGGCTGCAATTTCTTCGACCACTCGTTAAAAAGAACCTTAGACATCGGCTCCGCGCATGCCCGACCGTTAGGAATTTTTTGCAGTAAAAAGTTTTCTTACTCGCTTTGTAGCACATATATACACTGCAGCAACTTGCTTTTTTATTATTGTTTCGGAACGCGTGTGTATGTGTCTGAGTGCATTCATATATATATATGGGCATACAGTGAACGGTAGTGCTGGATACATTTTTCAAACGATCGCAACCTCGATCGGGGATGTTGGTTGTGATTCGATTTTGAAAGTGCGGTCAGTGAGCCGTTGAGCGATGTGACGAAAGATGTAGCAATTATTGATGCTTCACTCACGTACATGTGCATACGTTTTCGGATGGTAAGTTTTTTTTTCGAGCGAAACTTTTAGGCATTGAGATTCGTTATAAACAATAGTTAAAGTTGTGGACAGAATAGCTCTTGGTACCAGGCTCGTTCCTTCATATGCACTCGTTAACGGAGTCGAGTAATTATCACGATTAATGGCTCAGCGTTAAAAGGCCATCTCTCGCGTCTGAGGTGCTTAATTTCTTCGCGCACGAAACCATCCGGGCATACGCGTTACGCTCATTTTAAATTTTACTGCTTCTAATTCTGTTGCGAAAATGCAACTTTCTATATGCAGGCACGTAAATAAAATGTACTGCAAGAGAGAATCGAATGATCGCATTCGATAAATTTTATCGCGTAATATTATATTATATGTGCGGGGAAAATTATTTACGTAATCAAGGCTGCTACATAAATTGATGCAAAGTATATTCAGATTTATTTCCAAACTAGCTAGACTAATGTGCACTTGCGTGCACACAAGCGAATGATAAGAAAGTTTCCCGTATATATAAAGACATCGTTTGAATTACATGTACGCGGGCGCACATAAAAACGAAAAAAACAAATGCGACGAGATTTCCTATATTTAAGCACAAACTCAAAAAAACAAATGCGACGAGATTTCCTATATTTATGCACAAACTCAAAAGAGAAAATGTGAAGCACAGTCGAGCTCACTCTTAATGCATAATAATCTGCAATGATATATCAGGATCGACGAGTTTCGCATTCAGTGAATCCGAAGCAAGTCGATCATCGAAAAGGAAAATCAGCAACAAGAGCAGCAACGAGCGATGCACCTCTCCTGAATTGCATGTCTTTTCTGCAAAAATCACGGCAGCTCTAGCAGCATTACCGGATATGCATAATATCTTGGCTTGATCGAGCGTGACATGAAACGAGTAAAATGCCTGTACTCCAATACAATAAGTACAAAACTAAATAAAGATCTATATATATATATACATCCTATGGCGATCAATCTGTTTATCGAGAAACTGGTTTGTCATGGACGAATTACAGCAGCAGCAGCAGCTGTGCACGCGCGCATATTATACAGTATCATTTTGCGTGAACACCATGAATTTCCATAAATTAAAAGCTGAGATAGCCGCTATAGTTTACATTTAATTACGATTATGCAACGCACTCGAGCTAGCCATGCGTGCCGTAAAAATAAACACCGGCTGCAACGTGGAGAGGGCACAATCCGAAGAGGCTATATGCTCTTGCGCTTGCGACTGATTCTTTAATTTGCCAAAATGGCATACATTATTAATTACTTCCAAGTAGCGCAGCAAACATATCTATCTGGTAAAAGTCAAACTGCGTAAATACAGCCCGCAGCGATATATCTCGTCAGAAAAAAGCTGACGTATGCTCGGGCTTTTTATGTACGTGTATATAACGCGCGAGATCGAGTCGGGAAAAAAACTTTTACGCTCGTCCGTTTTGGCGAAAAAGTTTTATACACCGAAACTCTCATTATTCCGATTCGATTACTTTTCCTCGCTCGGCTCGTGATATATATCTATATTGTACTGTGGCATTATATGTAGTAGGAGCTGCCGCAGTGCACGGGGAGATTTTCACAAGGACGGCGTCGGCAAAGCGTCGGCCGAGCGGCTTCGTGCTCATCTGGCATGAAAAATGTTCTCACATCAATGATCCGCGGCGTCGGTGTTGCGATGATTTTATGCAAATGTGCCGTCGACACACTTGCGCCTCGCTTGCTCGGCTTGCGTCGCGCGCCCGTAATTTACCTTCTCTCTCGGTTGCAGCTCGCTCTCGGCACACGCACGCGCGGTCAGTTGCGGTCAACTTCGCATCGGCTGCTTTGCTTTGTATATATCTGTATCTCTCTATACATGTATATGAAGAAAGTCCCGTTGCGAGCATCTACAGATACGCTGAACTTGTCTCTCCTGTCTACGTGTATACGTACGAACGTTTCACCGAAGTTTGCGGCAATGTTCCTCTCTCTCGTTCTCCGTTCATGAGCTTGCTGGGGGATTCGCGGAATTAGAGTACAGCAATAAATATACACATATTCACGTGGGTGTTCTACTTGTGCCTTATTGATAAACACCCAATCAATTTATTCCAGTCAAGCATCGGTTATACTTGTCATAATATTTTCAATATTCATATAGTGCAACCAGAACAAAAAAATCGATCCTATATACTTTTCGATTTGCGAACGTTGATTTATAATTTCTTTTGAAACTTGCTTGCGAGTAAAGCTCGAGAGTTGTCGGGCAAAAATTGCATTTCGTAAATAATCATAACTCCAATATGTATACGATGGTTTTATTGCTCTAGTTATGTATTGGCTCTTAGCCGCTAAAAGAGTCATACATAATAGAGAAGCGTATAACAGATGATTGAAAATCGTTAATGAAGGATTTCTGGTAAAAACGCATTAGCTACCTATATACGTTATGTGCTATATACATGGTACATCCAAGTGTCCGAGCTACGTGCGCGTGTGTGTATAATGTGTAAATCTATAGCTTCGGTTAACGATGTTTCCTTGCTGCAGTCTTTCCTCTTTTACTCCTTTTTCTTTTTCAGCTTCTTTTTTTTATTCTCCGCGCACTTTCTTTTTTCCTCCTATTTTGTCGTCGTCGTCGTCACCGCTTCCGCACTCTCAGAGTTTAAAGTGCTCTTATACTACACCCGTGTCTTGGTGCTGCGAAGCGTGAGAGCTTAACCGGTGGATCACACTCTGCCAATTTACTGGATAAGAGTTTTATTTTGTATCCTCGAAAATGCCTTGCTAGTTTATACATACACGCTGGAACAGCAGACGGAGATCAGTACTTCTCCCGAACTAATGTCATAACTATTGCCATGCTTAAAATATAAACTATTACTCTTCGTTGCGTTGCAGATGTAATCGTGTAATGCGTTAGTCAGCCTGAGCAAGGCTGAGAATTATTTTGAATAATGGTCGTTTGAATATAATTCACATTCTTCTATAAAAAAATATTAAATATCAATATACCTTGACTTTGCAACATACTTTGCAGTTAATACAAAAAGATTAAGCAGTTGACTCGTGTATAAAGTATACTCTTATAGTTATATCGTACGATCAATCACCGGTACACCTCATTTAACGTCTCGGCAAAAGTAAACAACAATTATATTTTTAAAACAAATTGGAGCACATGTAGAAATATGCTTGGAAAATATATAAGTTGCGATATATGCTCAAAGTCTGACCACAGAGACATTTTAATAAAATATATTATAAGGAAAAAGTACTGGGCACAACTGTATACCTCTACAATAATCACAGCAGATCTACCAATTATGACAAATATGATTGTATCCATATTTGTGACCGACATAGTTATCATAACTTATCATGTAAACCCATTTTATGCTTTTTTAATTATACAAATTTATTTCTCAAGTCTTGAAAAATAGATCAATACTTGAAACAAACTTAACAATACTAAGAAAAAACAATGCTCAACTATTCTATGATCTATCAAATAATACCAAAATACAACAGTAGCAATTACCTTGGTATTCACTTAAAAAAAAATCAACTTTGAAAGAGCACATCTGGAAAAAACTCTTTCAAATCTATTAGCTACTGGGAAAAATCTCAACTCAATCTTTACTATTTATAACTAATTTACCATTGACGAATAAAACTTAGATGCACAACAGCATGCACTCGTATAGTGCAGCATAAAACTCAAACGCAAAAAACAAAAAATTTGTCAAAACAACATTGAACGTAGCCTGGTAAACGTGCCCTAGAACGCTCCAAATAACGTCTTGCACTTAGATCTACAAATTAGCATCTCTATGTTAAGAATAGCACCCTCATTGAAAATACAAGGAAAACTTCTAGATTTTAAAAATTCAAATGGACTTTGTAATTAGTTATTTTACTATCAGGATGCAGTTACAGAGTATAATGGGTATTGATCACTATACAGAATATCTTGTTTGTTTTTTTTTCTTTGTACTTCGAAGTTGACACAAATATTTACTTGCTGTCAACTACAAAGACAGATTGTAAATAATAAAATCTAAATTGTAAAAAAATGATGTCAATATATTATATGTAATTGAAACAATTTCCAAGTTATGAGTTAGATAATATTATGTGTGAATGAATATTTTGCTCCGTGCGGTTAAATTAGAGTTTGAAATTACTTCGCTGCATTATAATATATTTTACAGTTTCATAGTCTCTTGAAAAAATGTTCTCCACTCGTATGACCTTATACCCCTGGGAAAAATCCATCTGAATAACACTTGCTGAAATTAATCAAAAGGGCTGAGGAAAAATTAAGAGGATAGATCCTGAAAACTTTTTTAATATCTTTTAATTCGAGCGCAAAAAAAAAGTATCACCGGTCTCCATGAGATAAAAGAAAAAGTCGTTGACCCAATAGCAACACACAATACAATTGTCTTTGCCGCTCAAGCACATTAAATGAACTTTAAAGTGGACTTTTGAAAAGTCATAGAATTTTTCGTTTAAAATATACTATTTCGATAGAAAGAGCTTGAAAATAAAATATGTCTTGAAACTTTTACCCGCACATGGTATATGTCTGGGCATCTTGACGTACACAAAATATCAAATGTATTTATACTTTGTATACCTTCGGTCTTGGCATATTTGCACTTTAAGAAACAACAATTATATTTTAATATAATCCTGATAACTTTGACTCAAACTTATGCACGCTCAAAAAAACATTCACCGAACTATTCTAATTTTCATAAACTCCCGGCCGCCCTTCACGGAACAGTTGTTCTTTCTTGAACAGTAGTTATGGCCTTTGGACTGTAAAAATACGCTATAATAATTAACGGTAACGATTGTACGTATGCGTGGGGTGAGCCGAGCGAGTTGCATATTTATTATTGCCGCATACCTCTTCTTTCTGTCGAGCCGACAAGCCGTGTCGACAGTTACTACTTTTTCGAGTCGACGTAGCAACAACAAACTTGCCTTGAGTCCGTACGTTTTTTTTTGTTCTAATAATAGTGATAATGGAAACTCTCGTCGGGACAGGAGTGCGTTACATGTTGCACGCACGCGCAACTGACGCGGCGTTATATTGATGCATTTCATAAGAATTCCCAGGAATCGCTGCGATCGCAAAGTGCTTTTGCAAACTGACATTCTTGTCTTGACTTACCTACATTAATCAGAACTTGTTATTTTTGATATGTTATTAATTAATTATCAATAATAAGATGGCACTTGTCTTTGTGAGAAATTGTCTGCTCGCATGAGAAAGTTTTCGAAATTGAGGGTTAAGGATACACGAATATCTGCAACGAAAGAAACTTTTTTGAGATTCAGTTTACTGTTACGTTCAAAGCGAATGAAAGTAAATTATACAGGATACAATACTTGTTAACTTTCAATTCTTTTAGCACGCACTTGCACGTATACGTACTGGCTCGCGAAAAATAACAATAATAATCTTAGTTTTCGCTTTAGCTCTTTAACGTTAAAAATTCGAGCTCGTTATATCACGAGACGCCTCGAGTTTTAATATGCATTTCTCAGTTTCAAACTAGAATTACTCGTGTAAAATTCTAGTACAGCTCAGTTCACGAACGTATGTAATCAGATATTCTTTGACCACCAAGACGAAGATGACTCGTTATTTTTGCATTTTCGCCTGTCAATGTTGCAATTCAGATATTAGGAGAGTACTTAATCACTTTTTCGTTTTGTCTGCGGCATCCTCGTTTGTTAATCTTAAAATGGAAATTTACAATTGCAGCCGTGGTCTTAATTAGGTTGCGAATGAAAACAGTTTTGGTTCTATTTATAATTGCCTAATGAATATTCAATATGCTCGGGCGAAATTCAATATGCGAGCTCTCATTTTTCTGCATTCTCTTCTCGAACATTTTTCATTTTCAAGAAAACATCGTGGAAATTTGTTTTTCTGGCTTACTCATTCTTTTCTTCTGTCAATGTCAAAGAGTAGCTCCACATAGCTATCGATAAAATATTCGACATTTTTGCATAACTAAAGGAAAGCTAATAATAGTTCGCTTCATAAAAGAATATGATAAAGTTGTAGTGTGTACAGCTTCTGAAAAAAAAGAAACTCAACAAGTAAATACATTCCGCTGCTTTCCCCGTGTGCTTCTCAAAGAGTTTGGCATATCCGTACTCGCACATATATTATACATGCAAGGACTGTACATTTCAGAGAAAGTCGAACTCAAAGTTCGCGATCATTTTTTATAATACATGCTTGCGCGCGCGCACATATATGGCCGATTCTCTGTGAAGTCGAATGGCCAAAAAAATTCTTTTTCTGCGAATATGAAAAACTTGTTGTTTCCGATGTCAGATTTGTCCCAAAAAAATTTTAGAAAAATTGCAAATATTAAAATAATTCCTATAATTTTTCTGAAAAAATGGACAATTCCCAACAAAAGAGCTCTTGGGCACCTTTAATTTTGAATCATTCTACTCTAGTTTAGGAATTATTTGAAAATTTTTCATGAATTTCGAAAAAACTCTAAAATGGCCATCTTTGGGGCTCTGAAAAAGTGTCATAGAAGACCCCAATTTTTCTAAAAATTTTTTGGGACAAATCTGACATCGGAAACAAGTTTTTCATATTTGCAGAAAAAAAATTTTTTTGGCCATTCGACTTCACAGAGAATCGGCCATATGTAAGTGTACACATACGCGCGTACACACACATAAGCACACATACAAAGGACAGTGCAACGGGCTACAGTGTATAGTGGCTCAAACTTTTACCTGCTAAATTCTTTGCCCCGAACGTCTACGATATGCACGGGCATGTAAGGACGTAAGTTTCCTTCTGGAATACTATTACATTATATATATAATATAAAGGAGCTGCGAGCGGCACGATGTATGCATAGCGTTTCATTTGACCGTTGTATAACCCCGCACGTACAACGCCGACTGCGTGTATATTTAAGTATTAGTTTGCCTACGGTGCGATATAATGCATACCACGTAAGTTTTCAGGTGAAATAATAAAAAGTAAACGAAGGAACGAACGCCGCCGTCTTCGCGACTGCTACTGCCGTTTGCTGCTGCTGGCGTTAACGCTCGAGCAAGCCCAGCTCGGCTGGCTATTAACGCAATTTAACAAACGCGCTAATTCAAAACTTGGAAAGTCGTTTCGAAATTTCCTATATCGACGTCGGCGAGTGCTCGCGCATATATGCTTCGCGTGTAGGCACTGAATGCACTTAATGAGTCGACGATTGCGTAAAAAAAAGGCCAATGCGCATAGTATTAAAAGTTGCAGTGGTGCGAGGCATTGACACACGCGCGCGAGCTCGAGCAATTTACACGGTCTTTGCATATACGACGTACGCACCAAGTTTCCGTAAATTTTGCGCTAGATATTTTGCCCCAGCTGCATATCGATTAACGATTTGATGTTTATTTCTCTCGGGGTATAGCGCGTGCGAGCGTTACAAAAAACTTTGGGAAACTCGAGAGCTGCATCAAAGTTTCCGAGTTATTACGAAAAAAAAGGGGAAGGAAAAATATATCGTATATACGCATAGAGCAGAAGCTTGTTTTGCTGTTTTCACCGGCTCGACTTTTGCATAAGCTCTCAAGCGCACAACAGCAGGAGGCAGCGCGTCGCGTTGTTCGATGACATTGCGAATCCCTCGACAATCTGACAGTATATAAGTTTTAAATGAAACCGATCGACTTTCGCATTGCGCAGCTTTTGTACATTTTTGAAACTCTCCAAGTGCTTACAACGTAATGGGAAAAATTCATCCTTTCCAACGATAAACAATGTCTTGAAGCACACTCGATGCGAAACAATTTCATTCGTTCGTTCGAATGACAAAAAAAAAGACAGAAAAATTATTGCAGTTTTTAACGGCGATTCTGCAATTTCCTTGTGATTTCGAGCAAAAATAATTTTTCTTCTCTATTAATTATGAGTGACGTCGAAATTGTCATATTGATGGAGGATGTTAACCTTTGTGTCGATAGAAAAAAAATTGGGGCAAACTTGATTTTGTACCGTTACGAACTATAAAATATAGCTCTGCATAGTAATTTTTTGCTCGTTCGATACGAATGAAAAAAAGCGACACTTTGCTTGAATAGGCAGCAGTAACATACAATTAGCATTCGTTATGCCTATGTACCGTATACTTGCGCGAAAGAGTTTAAAAAAAAAAAAAAGAACGAGTATAAAAGGAGTCGGCAAGTAATGTGTCTCGAGACATGTAGCAAAGTAGAGTGGGCCATTATTGAGATTTCTTCTTCCTTGCCTGTCAGCGGCAATATGCGAACAAGGGAGGGGGGCACTTTTGGAGAAAGTCTTTCGCCAGATTCAATAGAAAATCTTTTGAACTCTTTGTTGAGGAGGCTGCTGTGCTATCCATTATAAATATAATAAATATCTGAGGTCCGAGGGTCATTGAAAAATTTCAAGAGAGAAAATGTCAGATTTTTATAAATTATTTTAAAAAAGTATAACAAAAACACCATCGTTTTATCGGGAATATTTTTGATATGACTAATGATCTTGTCCATGAATGTGTATAAAGTAATTGAAAAAAGCTATTTAATAAAAAGTTTTCTGATAAACCACGCAATATTTCATTTTGTCAAAAATGCAAAAATGTTGCAAGATCCGACCTATGAGATACCAAAAAATGTCAGGACTTTGGTTATGAATAAATATTACGGGCAGCGAAATTTGATACTTTTAGAAAGTATCCCTAGAGCATACACAGTATATAATGGAACTCGTCATTTTGTCGTTGTAATATATGTCAACATTAAATGTCATCGTTAAAGAAACGACAAAGCCTTTGCCGCGTTCGGATACACATAATGCTCGTCGATTTCTTTTTGCAAAAAATCCTGATAAATCATTCAAACGATACTTTTATATGGACGTTAATGCCAAGGATATAAATACAACCACAACTCGCCTTTTTTGTCCTCTTTAGCCATGTGAACGATAAAACGTTCACAAGCATGTGTATGTGTGTGTACACTCTGTGCTGTACGTAACGCGTAAGCTAGCTATAATAAAAATTAAAAAGTGCTGCGGGGATGAAGGCAGAGATAGAAGCCGACGTTAATTATCCGCGTTCACCCTCTCTCTCTCTCTCTCTCTCTCTCTTTCTTTCTCTCTCTCGCTCGACTAGAAAAGGGAGAAAATGAAAAGGGTAGAATGTACAAGAGGCAGCAGGAGGATATTGGAGCAAATGAGCTTGCGATATTTTTTTTATCTTACACCAGTGAATGCCTCTAACGAGTGCTTAATAAATTTTCCGTTAGCAGAGTCGGTAGCAGCAGCTTCTGTATGTGTACACGCGTACGTGTGCACACGGTTTGCCATCTCCCGAGCTCCTACGACGTATAACCTTACTAAGAGCGAACCTCTTTGCCACTTTTTTTTCTCATTTGGAGCACTGCAGCACTTTATGCGAGTATGTATGCGAATATGTATACATGTATAAGTACTTGCATGTATTACATAATAAAGTACATATATTTTAATTGTACCAGTATAGCGAATGTGCACAAAGTGTAGTTGCCTCATTACAAATGCATTTCAAAAATAGAAATAATTTTAATAGTTATTTATGACTACTAAGTGTTTTTCCTCGTCAACTACTCGAAGCTTCATATTATAAAATTCTCGCTACAACAATGGAAAAAAATTTTTATATTATGTTCATTTTTATAATTATATTTATTATTTAAAATTTGTGTTTTTAGATTTTAAGTTGGAGTAAGTGCATGGCCGAAAATTGATAACATCCCCTCATCTAGTCATAGTCGTAAAAATGGACGTCGAAACGGGGGCCATGTTGGCCCTTCAGATTCTCGCCGTGTTCTCGATTGCCGTTGCGCTCTTCGCATACTTGATGCGACAGTCTCGCAATGCTTCGGACGAATATGACATTCGGAGCAAGAGACACGTCCTCGTCACCAGTTGCGATACCTGCGTCGGCCTTCAACTCGCTCTCGCCTTATCCGAGGCTGGCTACAAGGTATTATCTCGCTGCAGTTTCTCTTTTCTTCCCTTCTCCTGAGCTACGTAATTGTGCGGGCTTTAACTATACGGTAAATTATCTTCCGCAGGTTTTCGCTGGCCTGCTGGAGCCGTGTGGCCAGTCGGCAGCCGTTAAAATTTTACGAGCTGTCGAACAAGAACGATTGAAGGCCCGAGATCCCGAGAACCTGGAAGATTCAGCATCGGCTTCTGGCGATTTACGATCACCTGGACAGATAGTGCCTTTGAAATTAGATTCGACGCGAGAAGACAGTCTACGAGCATGTCTAGACGCCATAAGAGCCAAACTTCCCGCCGGTGAAGATGGTAAATACATTACTTTGGCAGTACTTTTTTTTACACCTTTCAGACTTCTATCCAGTTAAAGTTTGTTCCGATGATTCCTAATGACGATTATTTTACGCTGAGATTTCCATATAAAGTGACTTTTGGCGTGAAGTGGCACGCACTTGTTAAAACAACTCGTCTTACTCTTCTCGTCGCTGGCTAGCCCCTTGAAACTTTGTTCCGCGCTTCATTAATCGCTAAGCGCGAAAGAAAACTTTACAAATTATGAAGCGAATGACGTTGTATAATTGGTATACGAAATTAAGTCCTCGACAAATAATTATCCAACATAATGCAGTCGACGATAAGGTAAACGTGAACGCTCGCATTGACATCGATTAATAGAGCGACTCTACGCGCGCGCCTAAATTAATGTTCACATGCGACAAATGTTTACTCAAGAGTACAAGCTGTTACTAATTTCGAATAATTTGCCGAAACATCGAAACTCCGTATTAATGCCATCGCGAACGTATACGTATAGAAAATATGTTTTTTACTCGTGAAGTAGGCAATGGACAGCTATAATATAAGGTTAATTTTACAAATTTGCATTGCTTGAAGTTTTAATGGAAATCTAGCAAATGGTTTAATCACTCACGGTAAATATGGATTTGCGCGTTCCTTATCATTCATAAGCCACTCACGTCGAATAAATAATAAACCATACATACGTATTACTCACGGGAGACGCGTGTAAGGCGCATGCAGAGATCTGCACAGCCGCCACGTATACGCAGCGTAGCGCAAGAGGCGCACTTATGCTTGCGGGTGCTGGCGCAAACTTTAAAGAGCCTGAGAATCTCCGATAAATTCCTAAACCACAAAAGCTCGAAAGAGCGCGCGCATATCGTACTTTAACGTATTCGCACGCGCATGCAGCTTTTGAGCCAGAACTCGAAACTGATCAACGGAGTCGTGCTCCGCGCGTATATATACTAGGCCTGCTGAGCTTTTCCAGCCAGCCGCAAAAGCTCAATCGTTTCAATTGGCACGTCTGCGTGGATCTGTGTGTATGTGTGTGTGCAGCCAACTCCGCGCCTTACACGGCACACATACACACATTGGCCCTTTTCAAAGTATTCCACGCGACGATCTCCGCGCTAAGAATGTGCGCCCTATAAATCTTGAAGATCGGGCCAGATTCTCCAGTGAGAATCGTGCGGATTGTATTATTACGCTACACAGAAGTCGCTTTTAGCTTCACTTCTGTTCTCTCAGTCTCTTGCCTACGCTTGTTATAATGTTACCTATATATCTATATACACACACGTGGCGCGCGAATGCTTTCAAGCCTGCGAGCTGCTACTAAACTAATAACCTTAGTTCGAATCACTTTTCACTGCGCCAAAATCACAAAGAACACCAGACTGCTGCCAACTATTGACTCGTTTATGTGGCTCGGAAGTTTTCTGACGCCGTTCAACCTTACGACAAAGTGAAACAAAAGATTCGATTGATCATTCGAAGCTTCGACATTGACAATAAATTACTTGCGAAACAAACTGACAAGTGTCCGATAAAGTTATGATTATAAAGAAAATGAAACAATTTTTACTTTGCCTAGTGAAGATTTGAATCAAGTTTTGTACGTACTGAAGAATATAACTCACGAGAAAGAAAAAAAAAATTATATGAAAATCCCTCCAAGTTTTATACTTAGAGTACAATTTTTTTTCTAATTATGATTTTTTTTATTGAAACAATGCGGTGGACCGGCAGTTCGAGTTTTCATATTTATCATCATAACCAAAAATATAAGCCTTTATATTTTATCATTGTTATTATTATGATCTCCAGGATTATGGGCAGTGGTACACACCAGTGGATTGGCTTTACCAGGAGTTATAGAGAGACAAGAGAGCTCAGCCTGGGAATCTATGCTGAGGCAAAACATAATTGCGCCACTGCGTACTGCTCGTGCATTCATTCCGTTACTACGAACAAAAAGAGGTATTTACAAGATTTTCTTTTTCTATTATTTCTAAAAATTGTGATTCTTTTGTTTCAAAGGTCTTGAAAATGTTAAAATTCTGATATTCGTCAAGCAAAATGAAAAATTCAAAAATTCTTACTTAGGTTAAAATCTTTGTACATAATCTCGTATTTTTTGATGTAAATAAAATTTATTTGTTTAATTAAAATATGTAGCATAATTTGTACCGTAATTGTATAATTTGTAGGTCGAATAATTTTACTTGGAGATTCCAACACGAGTTTCGCAGCGAAGGTCGGCAAAGGTCTTGTAGCTTTCAGCGCATCACGCAAGGCAGTCGAAGGTGCAGCTGAGGCAATGAGATACGAGCTTCATTCTTCCGGCGTGAATGTCGTTTTGCTTAAGCCTCCTTCGGTCAATCCTCTCGTACTTTATGGCCCACCAACTCTCAAAACGTAAGTTAAAACAATTTTTATCGCAATAACAAACTGTACATTTTAAACATGTGAGTTCAATTATTTATTACAGAGCTGAAACCGACAATTCCAATCAATCCAGCCAAGGCACTTGGATTGCTCCATTGTCAGCTCAGTCGGTGAAAGAAACACTCATACCAGCGATCACAGCCACTTGTCCTTTTGAATCCTACGATATGAATAAAAAATCAAGAATATTTTGTCGATAGATTAAGTTTTTATGCGTGTCATTTTTTATTAAAATAATTATCGAATAACATTCTGTAAAATATGTAATTACTTGTATAAAATAATATTATGTAATAAATATTCGGAATTATGTGTTGTAAGGTGTAAGATTAATACTAATATTAGATTAAAAGTTTTTTGTAAAAACCATAAATATTTCATTCTTTACAAATAATAATAAATCTTGTTATTTTATTTATCGTTTGAGCAACATTTTTTTATTCTTATACAATAATTAAAATAAACACGAAGCATTAAAATCAGATAGAAATTAACAGATATTTTTCAACTATTTATTATTGACGAATTATATCAATTTTAATTAAAAATTATAATCATACAATCTTATTTTTATACTAAGTGAAAATGACTTTCATTTGATTTGATTTTTCATGAAATAAAAGATATGAATTAAAGCACAACAATTATTTGTATCCAATTCATTTTTAATTTTATTTTATTGAACAACATCAATAAAGTCCTGAATGATGCATACACTTTTTATAAATAATCAAGTAAAAAAAAACTTTCAAAGAATTTGTTATATGGTTCACTATTCTATATCCACTCGTGAATCAAGTTTCATAAAAAAAATCACTTTGTCATTAATTAAAACCTAAAAAGTACATAAATATTAAAAACTGTACAGATGTATCCTTTAAATGTGAAATGGTTGTTTAAAAAAATGCTTTCAATCGATATGATGTGTATGTTTTCAAAAGAGCCATGGCAAGTAAAAAATTGACATTTTAATTACGAATCTTTGTATTCGGTATTGATATATATTGTGAAAAGGTTGCACAAATAAGCGTTTGATTACTCTTCATCTCAATGATGCTTTTTGAAAGAAAATTAGCAAAGATAATGAAAAAATACTTGAAATTTGTTATTACGTATTTGGCACTTTAAAACGACTTTAATGTTCGAGTATATTAGTTTGAAAAAGTAATATTCATTACTGAAATTATTATATAAAATAATTTTTTACTTTCACTATTTTATCACTGAATAATTAAAAATTTATTTTTATATTTTTGTTGGAGAAAATCTTCATTTCACCTTACGAACTTTCCTTGTTAAAAATTATGAAAATTATATAATAAAAATCTCCCATAAACGAGCCTTTGTATTTTGATATGTTCATAAATGAATTTTGAGATGACAGCTTACTTTTACTCGAGACAAGTAATTAAACCATAGTGTGAGAGAAGAAAAACTACGTTCTCAGGTAAATATTGGTTGTCTTTTGTTCTTTAGCAGTCTTGCTGTAAATAAATTGTATGCACAGAATATTGAAAAATGGAAGAGGCATTAATTTTATTTTGAGTATTATTATAAAGTTTTCTTTAAAAAAAGTAACTCTATAATTTCATTTTTACCGATGTTGGTACTGATATTAACACAATGGTGCTTTTTGTTAGTTTCCATAACTTTTCCGCTTGCGAAATAGAATAACGACGTTCAGACCCGAATTAAGAAGAAAGGTCTGATTTCGATATAATTCAATTTCCTATTATGCAGTCGCACTTATTATATCTTTCATAAAATTGATTTGTAAATATCCTAAATGAACATTAACAAGCGGAATGAGAGAATATAAAGGCAGTCAGAACTTTGTTTCGAGTCAGTTTTCTCTCAATTTTACAGAACTTTCATCCAACATGAACAAAGTACAATAATTTATATACAATGATTTTCATATTAGTTTTGATGCCATATAGTTTTTTTTTTATTTTATTTTAAAAATTTATAATAAAGGTCAATCAAAAAATTTTTGATTTCGATAAAAATTACTGACAACCATGTGCACATACTTACGGGGCAGTTTTATTAAAATTATATTGTGAACTTTGCAGGTACTGTTTTTTATTCTTATTTTTGTCTGCTTAACAGTTGACGCAGATCCTGGTAAAGGTAAGGTTTAGTTACGTAATATTATTCCTCATACATAGAGAACAATCATTTTTCATTCGAACTGGTAGAAAAAAGAAGCCACGGACACCATAAGGCTCATTCGTTTCAACACTTTCACGGACCGGTTCACGGTCATCACGAAAAAGTAGAATGGTGGGACAAACACGGTCACGAGCACCACGATTACGTTGCTCATCCTAAATACAAATTCGCTTACGGCGTCATGGATCATCATACTCATGATTTCCATGGACAAAAAGAGCACCGCGACGGTATAAAAATGAAATATTAAAGTTTTTTTAGAATTAAAGCGTACACTTGTAAAATAAAATTTGCGCTACAAGAAGTATGACATTTTTATTCAGGAAAAGAAGTGCACGGAGAATACCAAATTCATGAACCTGGTGGTAATGTGCGTAAAGTCAAGTATTATGCAGATCCTCATGGCGGATTTTTTGCTGAAGTTCATAATCACGGTGGCAACGATCATTCTGGCTATGGGCGTCGTTGATTATTCCCAGCATAAAAATGGATCTAATATCGCGCACATATTTGTAACAAAAAATGCATTAATCTTAATTTAATCGCGATTTATTGCAAAATGTATTGTAATGATAAATTTATTTAATTCTATACTTTTTGTAGTACAATACAATTTGAACATAACAATAAAATTTTCAACTAAAAAGCGCTTTTAATTTTCTTTTATATATACTTGAGAATTTGATGAAATTGAAACATATCAGTGCTGCTAATATATAGTCAAAATTAAAAAAAGATGATGAATTCTTCGTAAAAGTACCGTTGAATATAATTTTATTAACAAGGAATGCTGATTTGCTCCAAATTTTTTGCGCGGACTCTGCCACATGGAAAAAGGGTCAATACATTTGAGTAAATTGGCGTTCCGTATCTCATACGTTCTCCTTATAAAATATGCAATCACAATATATTTTTAATCCACATATTATGCAATGCGTGTGAAACGAAATAGTTTTCAATATTGTTTTATGAGTCTCGAAATGTTCTTGAGTAATGCATCAACGCACAGATGCTGTTTTTGCCTATCAAGTAATTATCCGCTAAACTGCGCACTGAGGTGCAAGCTTCTTTTTACCTATGCATGCTATGATAATAGCATTTACTTTATGAAATTATATTATGCTCTGTGCAACGCTTGCATAAATTATTATGTACGAACTAGGCCTTTCTTTGTCATAGTCAAATGTATTATTTGTCGCGCAGGCCGTTTTTGCTGCACAGTTTCCTGTCCTAATACACATTCCTCACGTGCGGATAACATTTCGCAAAATCCGATCGACTAAGCTAGTGTATAAATAAAGGCCGACTTGACACTGTCAATTCAGTTGTTTGGAGTCCAAGCTATCCATAGTTGATCCGATCTCAGCTTGATCATGATCCCCAAGGTACGTATCTATAGGCGACTATAATAATCGCATCGGCAGAATTGAAAATTAAGGCGAGTGCATTGCAGCCCGCATCCGTTTTGGCCTTGACGATGGTCGTCTGCATGTTTGGCACAGTCTATTCCAAGCACGCTCACAGCTTTGCCCACTTCCACGGGCCGGTGGAGGGCCATCATCATGAAATAACCATTCCCGATAAGCATGGACATCATCACACCGTCGATTACGTCGCTCATCCCAAGTATAAATTTGCCTACGGCGTCGAAGATCACCACACCGGAGATTTCCACGGGCAGAAAGAGCACCGCGACGGTAATATTTCTCTCTTTTTTTCTCTCTCTCTCTCTCTCTGTCCTCCTTCCGCCACGACCATTGAAAACGACGCTACGTTATAAAATTTACAGCTCAATAGTCGTAAAATATTCTTATAAATCAATACACCACTGTCGGCCGTATACGCTGAAAATGATAAAATATCCGTTCGTTTTAATAGGTAAACACGTAACGGGTGAATATACTATCAAAGAGCCAGGTGGCAATATACGGACGGTCACTTATCACGCCGATCCACACGGCGGCTTTTTCGCCCACGTCCATAATAGTGGCGGTAACGACCACTCGGGCGGTACTTATGGCGGCCACGGAGCCTACGAGCAGCACGACCATGGTCATCACGGGCACTATTAAGCCCCTCGATTCATCGAAACAAATATCTCATTATTTACATATTTCGAGCAGTAAACTATCGCATTTCTATCATCGACGACTGGCACTGTAAAAATTTCGCACTATTGTGATATACGTATTTGACACGCAAATATATATGCAACTGTTTTACACTTATAACATTTTCAAAGTAATTATTTCACCAACTTTAATCATTTTCTAAATTGGGTTAACATCGAGCTTTGCTGCAGTTCCGCCGAGTCTGCGAGTGAGCCTGAAAATCGCATAAATGAATTGGTGCTTTTCATTTTGTAAATTATCATCAGTACTTTTTGACGCAAGAACAATCTTCTTGGAGCTCTTTTAAAAGCCAGCTTTCTTCGTTAAAGCTCGCATTCGCGAAAAAATTACAGAACAAATTTCAAAATAAATGGATAAAGCTTTTTCATCAAAGATTTAGAGCTGACAGTACCAAAGTTCCATTTGACGCAAAAGAAATCGGGCTACGATATATAGATAGAAAGATAGAGGGGTGAAAAAAAGCGAGTATGATCGAAAGGCAGAAAAGTGAAAAGTGAATGGAAGGGTAAATGCAATTTGAACTGTAAGTGCTGAAGCTCTACACGAGCGTCTAACTGCAAGGTAGCAGAAAGCGTGCATTACCATTTTGGCCACCAGCCAGTATTTCGCTTTCATACTTCACATTATTAACCGATGCAGAGACAAGGGACTTGCGAAATTTCAGCCTCACCAAAATCAAAAGGGGTATTTTTCTAAAACCAAGTGATTTCTTTTTGTAAACGGGTGCATCTCGCTTATCGATGAATATTGATTGAGCTGGCTCGTGTTTCATTCCCTAAAGATTTTAATCTTTTTTGGGAAAATTATAACATGTACAGAATTTGAATTTTTCGGTGTCAGCAGTAGTAGTTACTACGTGTTTTAGAGTATTAACCGACAACATAGGCCTCGGGCGTTCGCTCCAACTTATGTCGAACTCGTACTATCAATATTACTCACAGAGAAACTTTTAGCCGCACGTGCACGAATATCCAACGTAATTTGGCCCAGGCAAATAAATTGTATTTATTAAACGTAATTGCTGCGAGGGTGCGCAAAAACGCGCTGTGGGTTTTTATGAATAGCTGAGCAAGGTAATCAAGTTCGGGGCGCAATTTTTCACGCTCGATCACTTTGGGAGGATACTTTGACGCGAAAGGTTTCAAAATTGTCATCATATCGGGCGTACGAATACAACGTTGTAGCCGACATAAATTGCTTCGGTGCGTTAATTTTATAGTTTTTGCGTGTGATTAACAAAGAGGCCAGGACGAGGCGAGGGCCGATCGCTCAGGGGGTAGAGGTCACGCGCGACGACGCCATAATTTATATTATTCGACCATCGAATGGCTGTTGCCGAGGAGTCCGAAGCTATAAATCTGTTAGATATTGCTCTGGTAATCACATCCGATTTTTGCCGCTTTGTCATCACTCACGGATCTTTCCATAGCTTTGTGCTGTCGATATTGCTGGTTATTGAGAGGAAAAGAGAAAATGTAAGCGTGTGCGTGCGTGAGTGTATACATACGTGCTGCTGGGGTGCTCTCGTTCTCGCTGCGTATATACAAACGGCCGGAGAGCAGCGACGGGAAGCGGAGGAAGGGAACATTTCGCAATACACGTTCGTCATCAATGCGTTATTTTGTGCTAGCCAAATCGATTTGTCGCTCCCAAGCTGGGACGAGGTTTTCCTACTGCAAACGAAATTTTCTCTCTCCCCGGACTTTTCGATGAGCCAATCAGATTTTTATTTATGTGCTTTAATTTTTTCCGTTGATTTTATACATTTCATTTCATCCCCAGCTATCTCCAACTCACTCTTTCTATTTCTCCCCCCCCCCCTCTCTCTCTCTTGCAAAATCAGACATCATTCATCTATTATTTTTTTTATTTTTGTTTTTTGCAAAGCTCTAACATCGTTCGACACCGTTATCGATGTCAATTACTTGCAAAAGAAAAACATGATACGCAATACGACTGAGAACAAGGAAAAACTCGAAAGCTGCTCTCTCAATTCTCAGCTCTAATAAAGCGAAAATTGCATAGAATTTTGGAGACTGCTCTCCGTTACGAAATTTGAAATTCATCATCGTGACGAATCCATGGTATATCGACGGGCGAGAACGACTGAATTCAAAGTTCCTATATCTTTTCTTCATCTCCGATTCTCTCTCTCTCTTTCTCGCTTCGCCATCCTCATTCGCGTATTTCAACATCTGTAGCAGTGGCAGCAGTGCAACGCTCGGCGCGTCCCCAGAGGGGGAATCCGAGTACGCGACTCTCACGTATTCAAATCATATTTAAATTTCGTACAGATCGCACCAAAACTTACACGTTGATCCCATTGATAGTATATGACGTATAATACCGGATGTTATAATACCTGCGTAAAGTAGCGGTTCAAAAGTAAAAGAAAGGATTGCCGCAAGTTCGATATGCGAGTGTGTGAATGTACCTCGGCGTTTTTCAAAGATTTTGCCTTTGGAGTTCAGATTTTATGTGTGCTGGAGGATTTTACGGAATATCTGCGCTATACGCGTGAAATGGGACGATTTATGACAGTTTTAAAGGGGATATTTTCGCTGGGAACATAAACTCTCGCTTTTTCTCCCTCTCTATAGCGGACGCACATTCGAAATATACATGAATGTAATCTTTTATGCGATTTTAAAAGAACGTAAAATTGATTGTACAAAGAGCGTCGAATCTATAGCAATTACGCTTTTTTTTTTCTAATCCCGCGCTCTGGCGTGCTTGATGATTTTTCTCTGTGAAAGTGTTGAATAAATTAAACCATGAGTGAATAAACAACAATTTGCAGGTATTACCTCCCCGTGTAATTATTTTTGCCTCGAGAGCCGGCATTAACTTCAGAGTAATTTATCGACGACAGCTTGATATTACTTACCATCCCATTAAAGAAGCTTTAGACACAAAAATAAGATGAATCGTTACGACTTGTAACTTAATATGCATTTTCTAGCGCGCAATTATGTAAAAACAAGAGTGAAAATTCGAGCGCGAAATTTCACTCGACACATCGATCTTTCATTTAGAGATGTTCTCGATCGCACCAACTCGAAATATTTCATCGCATTACCGGAATCCGCACTCAAGCTGATGGGCATGTTTTGTTTATATGATTTACACATGAAAAATGAACTTCGAGGGTGCATTAATTTTTCATCGCGCTTCAACATCATCGCTCGTATATTGTGCCATTATTTTAAGGTAATAAGCCTTGGAGAATTGGAATATTTTCAAGTGCAGCTTGATAGCCGGATATAATCATTATTATAATGTAATGCTATTCTCTCTCCTGCATTTCCCTTCTCCTTGCCCCGCCGACGGATTTACCCATTTTCATGTACAATTACGATGCATTTCCTTGAAGGCTTATGCGAGAACGATGAGCAACGTACCCTCAAGGAATCTTCGCGTGCACGTCTGAAACAACTTCAAAGGAGAGCCAAATTGTTGCATAAAAGCTTTACACACACACACTCACTCACATATACCAACACATGTTATTCATGTATGCCCTGTTCAGTGTACTAAACGCGAGTGTATATCCATGAAGCTTAGGTGAATTTGGTAAGCGTGTATTTTGAAGTCATGCATTTTGCTATAACGTGATACAATATGTAACGATCGGAACACAAGGGCGGGAATCATGATTCGAAAGCATAAAATTTGAACCCTCAAGGCGAACCGCATGCGTCATTAAGTACACAATTGACTTTGTCATTTTTATATATTATTTTAACTCTCAATTTATTCTATTTTTAATCGACAATTGACAAATTCAAAGAATGTTGCAATTGTATTATATAAGTTGCGTTATTGAAGTGTAATAAATTTATGCCCCAACATACCAGTATTGTTTGATTATATATAAGCGTGAGTACAATGATATTTAATTAAATTTTTTATTCCAGTCATAGAAAAATACAAAAACTTAGTTTACACATCAACTAAGTAATTTCTATGCAATTAAACTCAAGTGTCAGAATATTTATAAAACAAAACACAAAATAAATTTATTTTGAGTACACAACATTATCGCTTTTAAGCTAACAAAATCAAACGTGACGAACATAAAATATAAATGTTTACTTAACATTTTTTCAAACATTGAATTATTAAACACACTCAACATATAACTAAGGTTCAAAGACTACTCTGTCGTCTTCATTTTCATCACTACTGTCTTCTTCATTTTGTTGATCATCACTGTCGGATTGATCTCTTTCATTGGGTTCATCTACTTCCATTTCAAGATCAGGTGACGGAGGACTTGGGAGAGGAGTAGATGAGCGCCTGTTTTTTCTTTTATTTTCTTCGTCATTGAGTGAAAACAACACGTGCAGATCTTCAATGGTTAAATTGTTACCCACAGTTCCGCTTAAAACATTGGAAGAGATTTTAAGTTTCCCTTCTTGAAGAGCTTTTATGTTTTCTTCAATTGTATTTTTGCAGACGAATCTAAAATTTAAACATTTTTTAAGCTCAAAATATAATTTCAAAACTATAGCAATATAATGTCAAATGATTGGTTTACTTGTAAATTCTAACATCCTTTATTTGACCGAATCTATAAATACGATCTTGTGCTTGAGTTTCCCACTGAGGATTCCAATGTAAATCGACGAGAAGCAAATTGTTTGCCCCAATCAAATTTATTCCACAGCCTCCAGCAGTTAATGATAAAAGTAAGACATTAAGATTATCATCGGGATCATTAATTCTATCGACGATTTCCTTAAAAAAAATTAATTCATTGTACAGAAACTTTAACGTTATTTTCATACATTTTTAAAATCATACCTGGCGCTCTTGAATTTTCGTAGACCCAAAAAAATGGGCGAAGACAGCATGAGGTATAGTTTTTTTAATAAGCCGACCGATAAGAGATAGAAAACTGGTCCATTGAGAAACAACTATTACTTTCTCTCCCCTTTCAAGAATGTCTTCTATTTTGGAAAGAATTGCAGTAACCTGAAGTAAATATTTTTCAACGTTAATTTATCCTCTTTTTTAATTTCTAATCAAGAATATTTTAAAATAAAACTGATGGAATACTTTAGAACTTTGTCTGTTTTCGGAAAAAATTGGATTTGAACTGGACATCACTTTTTTAACCATTACTTCATCAATATCATAACATTCATCTTCGTCGTCAGAGTCATCTTTCTCTAATAACAGTTCGTTAATGTCAGCGTTTAAAGATTCATTGCATTCTTTAGATGCAACTTGTATATCCTCTTTTTCAATCATTGATCTTATTAAAGATGGATGACAGCAAATTTGTCTCAATCTTAAAATAAGAACTAAAATATCATGCTGCCCTATTTCGTTATGATGCGCCATGAGAATCCTCAAGAGTTTAGTCATTTTTTTTGGCACCTCTAAAAATGAATAGGATATTATTAAGAAAATTTTTATTTGTATTCACGTTAAAAAGTATTGTTTACCTTGACGAATGATATTTTTTGGTCTAGAATAGCAACTGAACGGCTTTCCTTTTTCGGCATCTTTTTTTTTTCGCTGCCGAAGAAATTCAAGAAAAAAAGTTTGTGAATACAATAAAAGTTTTTGATACACAATTTTTTCCTGCATATCTAAATTTACTTCTATTATTTCAATTTGCTTTTCAGGTAAATCAGGCACTAAATTTTTTTTTATCAACTCCTCTTTAGTTCTTCTTAACATTAGAGCCTTTATAAGAACTGTTAATCTTTGGCCACCAGTCTCATTTCTGTTAGAAACCCATCGTCTCCAAACTGACCAATCATTGAAAGGTTCACATTTGAGAAATTTTAGAAGAGCATAAAAGTCATCCACTGAATTCTGAATCGGAGTCCCAGTAAGTACCCATCGATGATTTGTTGTTAATTCGCACACTGATGAACTAGCTTTGGTTTTGTTATTACGAATGTAGTGAGCTTCATCTAATATAACTCTGTCCCAGTTAATCTTGAGATAAATAAAAACATTTATTTGTCATCTTTTTATTATTTTGACTAATTATAATTTTAAACATTAATACCTTGAAAAGCCTAGAATCTTCTCTTTTACCAATTTCTACATGTTCTTCATATTCTTCAGCAATTATACCATAAGTTGTAATTACTACATCAAAAGTACTTAATGTTTTAGCACTCAAGCGTTTATCAGGACCATGATACACAAAAGAACTTAAAATGTTGCGACGACATCGAACAGATATTTCACGTTCCCACTGCTTAATTACTGATACTGGACATATAACTAATGTTCCTCCATCAAATCCTTTTCAATTAAAAGTAAATGAAAAATTTTTTTTAAATTTAAATAAAATTTACTCTTATTTATTCTACAAACTTTTTCGAGAACATGGATAAAATCCCCAATCATCGTCATCATCCTTATCATTCTCATCCTTTCTTATAGTATACTTTTGTTTTTCAGTTTTTTTAGCTACTAGCAGTGAAATAATTTCCATAGTTTTTCCTAATCCCATATCATCAGCTACATTGTTAATATGAAAAAAGTGTATAAGAGTGTATGTCAATTCCTGTGCAAACAATAATAAAAAAAAATGAGTCTACTTACCAAGAATACCACCACTTGGTTTTTGAGATTCTCGCCACATAAGCCATTTCAGTGCATCTCTTTGATGAGGTAGAAGAGGTATTTTTAACCCAACAGGGTCAGATTCTACTGGAGTTTGGGGACATGATTTAAGTTGAGTATATAAAGTCTTAATACAACCTAATGTCAATCTTTGCTGGCAATAATATTCGCTTCTTCTTTTACCATCCCCTAATCCTTTGATTGAAAAATTTTTTGATGGTTTATTAATAATACTATTAACATCAAAGTTTATTTCATCAGTCGGATTTACTAAAGTTGTGGTATTATCAAAAGTTATGTTGAAACTGTATGTCTCATCTGTTTCATCATCACTATATTGAGGATCAAAATCAGAATAATTATCGTTTATATCCTCTTCATTTTCAGTGTCACTACTTGAATCACTATCGATTATCTTGGAAATTTTATGAGGAATTGCTGCAAATATAAATAGTAAAATAAAAATTTATAAAAAGTTTATTATTAAAAATTAATAAAAAAGCTCAATACTCCATTTATTACCTTGATCCAAGTTTTCATCACTAACACGTTTAATACCTGTATAATGTTGAACATTTTAGAAAATTTACTTGCATCAAGTGAATATTAATTCATACCTCTCAAAACTGGTGATGATTTTGAAGGAGAATGTCCATTAGGAGGAATTTCTGCTATTTCAAGCATATCTGGCATATTAGTATCTTTTCCATCATTTTTATGTTCACTTTTTATGGAAGAACATTCTGTAGATGCCAAATTTTCAAATTTTTCTGATTCATCGTTTGATCTAACATATTAAAAGAATAAATTTGTATAAAAAAATGGTCGAATGAATGCAGCTATTTACTACAGTATTTGTATTACATTAACGATTGACTTTTTGTTCCATTTTCACTTTCAGCAGAACACTCTGGCAAAAAATCATTTTCCAATTCAAGAGCACAATTTGATTGAAATTCATCATTAAACCTAAAGTAAACAAAGTATAGTTTATTAGCATGTACAGTTCATGCATCAATTAGAAAATTATATAGCATTACGGTAGCTTTTTTGCAACAGAACGTGGCTTTTCATTTTTAATTATAATACCCTCATCATCAGAACATTGATCAGGTTCATGTTCCACTTCCATGTGAAAATCTACTTGTTTACTTTCAGATCTGATAAAATGAAAAATATATTTAGTGCATTATGAAAAGTACTTTTTATAACATAATTATTATTACTTTGCTGTAGAAGAAATAGGAGTAGAATTTCCTGCATTTTCATCATTTTTTTCATTTTTATAGAATTCCTTTAACTGAGGTCCTGGTTTTGATATCTCACTTAATTTTGATTCACTGACAGATCTAATATGAGCAGAGATCACAATTGAAATACATGTACATAAATATTAAAAATTGTTTAAAAAAGAATTACATTGTCTCCTGAGGAACAAAAGTTGACTCTATCTTTTCATTTTTTACTATTTTTATATTATCTTCAACTGATTTGTACGGGATAGATTCTAATTTCATCTTAGAATTTGAAAGTTCATCATCCGATCTAGAATAATAATGATTTATTTACATTAAAAAAATGTTTTTCCATACATAAGTTTATGTCTATAAATAGTGAAAATTTTATATTGAAATTGAATTACTTTGCATTTGTTGCCATGGGGTTGGAATTTTCCTCATTTTCTTTATTACTTTCTTTAGAGCAATCTTTTTCAGGCACACAGCTTTCTAACTTTACAGTACAAGGCAAACATAACTTATCATTTTCCTTGGTATTTTTTTTATCATAAGACCTGTAATGAATTATCATTTTTTGTTTAGTCCCAAAAATTAGTAAAATTAAAAAAATCGGATAATGTGTCATTTATCTAGGATTTAAGAAAATTACCGACTTATAACGGATTGTAATGAAAGATACAAACGATTACAAGAGTAGTTTCGAAATATCAATTATTAATTCATTTTATTAAACAAATGCTAAAAGATTTTTATAGACGGTTGTATGTACGTGCTTACCCTTTTTCGACCATCTTGTTTACCACGCGTGCAACAAAATTACGCAAACCATCCATTTGATCACACCCAATGAAGGCAGTCTCTTTCCACTAATTCTTGTATAGCTAATCAAAGTAAACAAACTATCGGCCTTAGACGTGGTTGGAAATTTTAATAGCGAATACCTATTTCTATTATGCTGCACGCTCAGACTAGTTTCATTGTTTGTTGCCGGCCTCTCAACAGTCAACTGCGTAGCAAAGAAAATACGCGCCAAAGCTGAGATAGCTGGTAGTACACAGTACACACAGTACGCCTGCTTCTGACGACTCGATTGAAAATTGAAATCGAGTTTATATGAAAGAGAGCAACCTTACGATTCAAAATACCCGTCCGTTGCGTAGAAGAGAAGCCTAGTAATTTTTTTTTTCTTAAAAAAAAATTCCTTAAATATCTGATCTTACGAGTGGTGACTGGCGGCAACTGCCTCTGTCCTCTACTGACTACTCTCTAACCATGCGCAGTACCTCAAAAGTGAGTTTAACGCAGGTTAACGTTTGAACTTGAAGGTCTTGAACTTGAAGTGAGCGATCAGCCAAATAAGTCTCATGCATGTAGTACGGCTAACGGCCACTAGTAACGGCTGCTACTGCTACACAAATTTTGTTTTAAATTTTTTATCAAGATTTTATAATTTAGATTTAAGATTATTATTAAGATTATTAAGAAAGGATTGGTGTGGCATCAGTAACTCAAATAAATTAATTTTTGATAAATATGTTTTTCAATTTAACTTGAAAGTGTAAATGATACAATTTTATTTCCACGAAGAGCTCAAGCAGAACAAAATTTGCATAATTTTTTCATTACTTAAATTGCTAGCTTATAGATGTATTGGTGCCTACAGTGTCAATTTTTCAAAGATTATTCTGACTTGAATTGAATTTGAATCTCCAATTTATATTCTTTATTAATAAAACAAAAAAATGTACAAACAGATATTCATTGTACTGATATTATCACATATCAAGAACCTATAATTAACAAGGTACATAATCTTACACAAAAAACTACTTTTCTTATTATTGAATAGGATTTGATTACTTGCTTTACTTATACATAAGACTTATAATATGAGTTCAATTCAAGTGATAAGTTTTTTAATTAAAAGTAAATCTCATTTTTTAAGTACAACATTCAATATGTACTTTCATATTTATATTCCACTTGAATTTAATATTAATCTTTATCATACAACTGTAATTGAATATAGCATTTAGAAAAATTGTCTACTTGTCTGAGAAAATAAAATACTATTATTTCATTGCTTAATACTAAATCCATAGGCATGGTTTATCATAATTTAGGATCATCCTGATATTCGCTTTTAATTTAGAGATATGCAAATATATGGGCTATATCATAAATTCTGAAATTTAAGCCTTCTTGTCTATCCTTCATGGATCTGTAGGAGCTCTAGTTTGAATTTTCATTTTTGATATTTTATTGATAAAACAAAATACAACTTTGGCTAAATTTTTGGCATCGTTTGATCATCACTGACAATTTGACAGCTGTTGAATGACTAAAAAATATTAAAATTTGTATAATATCAATAGTCTCTGATGCTGAATCGATGACCTAAATTGAGCAAAAGTTGTATTTTGTTCTGTCAGTGAACATATAATTTTGATCTCGTCAATGTAAATAAACAAGTTTACTTTTTGACAGTTATGCTATTTTGGATTTTTAATGGATTTTAAGGTCATAAGAATGATGTATGAATTTTGAATTTCTCATTATATTTTGCATCAACAAAGAAGTTTTAATAATTTTTCAGAAAATCAGAATAAAATATCAAAAATGAAAATTTATTCTTCAATGCACTCCTCGATAGTACATACTTATAGTTTCTATTGGATTTGTTGAACTATCAATTCTTTTATGCTACAGTACATATTCATTTATTGTATTATACATCAGTTTCAGATTTACTTGATTTTTATGTGACACATTAGTGATTTTATTGAAATTTAAACTATGATGTCTTTTCAAGAAAAATGTACACATTATTTTTACTAAAAATTGCTATTTCTAAATAATAGATGAACTCAAGTTATAGAATAACTTAAGATGCTATTTTTTAAAAATTATCAAAAATAAAAATCACTACAAAACATGGTCAATTTTGTTATAACTCAAGTATATCTACCGGTTAGCTAAAAATGTTATGAAACATTTTTCTACTTATAGGTTTTCCTTAAATAATGTGAGATTTCTAGTAAAAATCTATTTAAAGGCAAATTTTCATTAGTCACTCACATGATTCTTTTTTAATGACAACAAAATCCAAAATTATGAAATTTCTTTTTCATCTACGAAATTGGCGCATACTTTTTTCCGATAATTTTGATGCATTAAAATGAGCTATCATTGGAGATTAGGTGTTATCAAACATCGGCATATGCAGTCGTAAATCTGATGGGCAGCAGAGAAGGCCTTCTGGCACGGCTGATCGTAAAGTTCCTCATTCGAGTTGTTCTCGGCGCGATGCACACAAGCGCCGCATTTCGCGCATCGTAAATCCGCAGCTAGCCAAACGCGTGTGAAACCAGTTATAAAAGGAGTTGAAAAAAAAATAAATGAATAGCAGCAGTCACTGGGGCAATAGCAGTTGCACGAAACAGCAGTTATTATTACTTTCTTCGTGTTATGAAAAAAATCTGTATCTGCCTATTATTCATTTTGCTTTTGTATATGGCAAATTTTGAACTTGTTTCTCTTCTTCCCTCTCTCTCTCTCTGTTTTTGTGTCTGTATAAACGTTATATTTTCTGGCCAAAACTTTTTAATTTAATGATTTAATTTCGAATGCAAGCTTGTGATTTACGATATTCATAAAAACATGGACTAAGTAGATGCCTCTTTTGCTGTTGAAAATTGGCGTTTGCTTTGTCAAAGCTTAAATCGGAACTAAAATTTTTAGAGCAAGTTACATATTTCATGTCTCGTTTCTAGCCGTGCACGGCTCAGTCAATTACTTCTCAGTACTTTCAACGGCTTTTAAAGGATTTATTGTACGTTATTTTTCATGGCTCGCGCAGCTCTTCGTTGTTTCTAAGCAACTTTCTTTTGCCATGACCTCCGTTTCCTTTTCATGCAGAGGAGATGATATATTGAAGATAGAGATTATCGTCGAGCGTAATGCACAACACGGAATAATTTGATGTTATAGCGATTATACTCTCATTGGAAAATATACCAATGAATAGATGACATTTGAATATATAGGTATGGAATAAAAGCAAGACAAACGAAGCAGGACGCAGGCGTCGAAGTGAAGATGAAAAAAGAGAGGATTTTGATTTTTTTCATTGAAAAAAGAAAGAATTATGAGGAACTGCAAGCCGGCGAGCGCGATAAGATAGCTTATGCGATGTCGATGAAGAAAAGAGTATCTGCATCGATGCTCCCGAAGAGCAACAAAGCGAATTGCAGCTCAACGAGGCTGCGTTGCTGCCGTTGCTGCTTTTGTCAAAGTAACGTGTGCGCAAGGGTTCGAATATTCCCCTGATGATATAAATTTAGTACCCGAGTAGAGCATGTATGTGTGTGTGTGTGTGTGTGTGTGTGTGTGTGTGTGTGTGTGTGTTTGTGTATGTGTAGGTCGGTGTGTTGGTGTACTGCGAAGTTCATAGCTTCTCTCTTCGTCACTGAATATATATACACGCATTCACGTTCGATTAGCATTATCGACTGCAATATACGTGCGCTGCGCTCATACACGTGTGCCATAATAGTAGCAGTACGCGTACGTGGCGCTCTTGTTAAAAGACGGCTTTTCTCCTTTGCCGGGGTCCTCTTTATCTCTCTCTGTCTCTCTCTTTCTCTCTCGTACTATTGAATAAAGATTTACTCGCTTGTGCTGGCATTAGTGCCTGCGCTTCATTAACTACTGACATTGTTTGGGATCGCAGAAAAAAATAAAAGAACTTCGTTAGAGCATTCCCCCGAAGCCGGGAGCTTTAAGTAAATAATCGATAAATAAGTGTAACAAAACTCTGCTTTACTATACGCGAAATCCGCTGCAGTCTCCCTCTTTCTACATGTATGTAACAGCGGTGCACTTTGTTCCCCGTTCTCTAGCGCAAAAAATTGATTTGTCGAAGGAAAAAACAAGCAAGACGAACGAGAGAACCGATGATGCGCGCAGTTAGAAAAGCTGAAACTTTGGCCAGGAGGGGAGCATTGTTTACGCGAATACACTGGGCAAGGGTATTTTGGTATTCAGAGCTTTAATGTAACCGTTGGCCTGAGACAGTTCGCGCACAATAAGTTTCTCCCCGTTAATAGATTTTTCTTGCCGCGTCCCAAAGTTCCAAGCGAAGGAGAGAAAGAGAGAGAGAGAGAAACTTACATCTCACTCGAGCTGCTTCTGCAGTCTCGATTCGAGCTCCGAGTTGTATGTATATATATATTCCTGCTGGTATCTTTTTATTTTTCTTCTTCTTTTCCTTTTCTCGCACCATCTCTGTTTCTTACCCTTGTTATTTTTCCTTTTTTCTTTCGGCGTTTGCGTTCAATCTTATAGATTGAATGGTGTTCTGGCCTACTTTCTTTCAAATTAATTATGAAAAGCTCGGTAAGGGAAATCTTGCAAGTTTTTTTTTATTTGGTTTTTTTCATCTCGAAAAACATTTCGTAGGCCGCATAACTTCTTCCAATGTACATTTTTATTAAATATATCTTTGACTAAAAAATATATAAAGAAGCAAGAACTTTGTGCAGTTAATTAATGTTTATTTTTACCACAATTAGCAATGAATGGATGATACTTCAAATTTTTTTTAATGGAGTTTTTTTTTAATAAAACGTGCACGCATTTGAGCAATTCGCAACCGTTCAAAATGTTGCCATCGATCATTACGGTTAAAAAACACGCGATGACGATAACTTTATTAAATAGTAAGAACGAAAAGCTTTTTGTTGTAATGCGCATTGATTTGATAAAAAGTCGATCGATGCGAACAAGAGTCAAGATAAACAAAGCTAATGATTCAATAAATTTGACTCTTTGACTGTGCCAAAAGCGAAAAATATACGTACACATATATGCTCGTCTGATAATTCAACTGGCCTAGCTTAAAAACTGGCAAACGCTCCGGCGGCGTACGCGACAATTCTAAACGACGTGATAAAATGCGATTGCAAGCTCCAATGAAATTAGCAGTTTAACGAATTAACGCGAACAACAGCTCGCGCGTTTTTGCCTCCCGTATATGCACGGCTCGTGTGTACGTATCATACTATACAGTAATCGAGGGAATAAGAGAACTTGCACGAGGATAAAAAGAGAGAGCAGAAATAGCTCGGCTATACCGCATATATACAGTTTTTGGGATACACACACACACACACACACACTCGAGTGCATAGAGAATTTACTCTTTCAGCTGATATTTGCTTGCCAATTGAAATACGAGAATCACGCGCGCTAGAGCCGGCCTCGTGAGTGCGCGCGTTTCCGCCCTTTTCCGCAGCCGCCGCGAGCCAAGCCTATACGCGCGCACAGCTCGCATATTTTGGTTTTATCGGCTTTGCCTGGCCTCGGCCCGTATACGTATAGAATCTCCGTATGCATGACTCCTCCGTGTATACCTATAACTCTCGCATGTATACGAGCTTGCCGCGTGTGCGTACATATATATGCGTGCGCGTATGTGTGGGTGCCCACTGCAAACTCTGCGCTATACAATCCATCCTAATTGCGCCTGTATACACTTGGTGCCGTGTACGCTACGCACAACGGCCCAGCTATATGTGCGAATAGGTGTGTTGACTGCGAGATTCACTTTTTTCGCCCGAGCACATCTGCTATTAGCGGTAGTGAATAAATTGTAGGCCACACGTTGTTTGATGACAATTACCCTGACAGCCTGCGTCCGAACAATCAACAATAAAAGCTCGGTGACATCAATTTATGGCTCAATAGCTGAGCTCGGGGTGTACCTTACCCATCATCGGATCTTGAATTAAGCTTTCTCTTTCTCTCTCTCTCTCTCTCTCTCTCTCTCTCTCTCTATCCCCCTTCTAAGCTATGCATTCTTGATTTCAAGTCAAATCTAATCAAATTTGATACAGAGCTCTGTGAAAGCTTCGTTTTAGAAGCATCCGAGTCGTTATAGGATCGGATGAGAGTACAGTGCTGTTGAGTAAAAAAAAATCGAGCGATAAAAAGCATAGAAAAAAAAAGGGCTAGCTCGCAGAGTGTAGGAGCGTTGAAAGAGTAAAGAGATCAATGAATTTTGTAAGGATTGATGTACGGATCTTAAAAGGATTTCACGAGTTACTATCGTTTTGTTTGACAAACGAACGGCTACTGTGTGCACGTGTATTCTACATAGGTATATACAAACCAGCAGTGGCCGAGAGAAAATTTGTGAAGCTTTCACAGTGAGGGAGAGAGATGAATAAGACGAAGCGGCAAAGATACTGCTATTCTGAAATTCTATAGCTTTCCGACGAGTCAGAGAATGAGAGAGGAGGACGACAGGGCGCGAATGCAGGTCGATAGAGAATTCACTGCTCTACTGGCACAGCCTCCGTCGCCGACGCCACTGCCTTTGCTCGATGAATGGAAGATTCATGCCAATGTACGTAGCAGCTCTCCGGCCCTATATATACCTGCTGTAAGCAGATCTATATAGATACGTATTATGGGATATATGTACACGTGGGTCTCTCGCAACTGATTTGGGATGTGCACTGCGGCCGTCTGCTCACCTATACTTCATCATGAGAGGCCTGTAACGAGCCATGCTAATATAGCTTCGCCTTGAACACTGGCCTTTCTCTCTCTCTCTCTCTCTCTCTCTCTCTCTCTCTCTCTCTTACTCACCTCCCAGTGATCTATTCATGTGATCGCGTGCATATACAGGCGCTGCAGAGAGGTGATTTATTGAATAATGATACAAACAATATTATACTTTCACGAAGAGCTTGATTACTGGCGATTATATCCGATAAAAATATTTCGATTATCTGCAATGGATTGCAATTAACGGGCCTCGTATTGCAATTATTTAGTAGCGCAGTAATACATAGAAGAGCTTTCGATGAAGCGCACTCGTGCGTATCATTGGATTCGAATGCAAATCAAAAGTTTACAAAATTTCAATGAATTGTAGAGAAGTGAGGCATACACGTGTTTCAAATGCGCTTACTTCAAAACATATTGATCAAATTTTTTACTCGTATCTCGAATTGTTTTCTAATCCACAAATTCTTCATTAATTAATTAATTTATTTTTCATTCTGAAGTTTCACTGATTCAACCGGTTTAACGTAATTTTTAACCAACTTAGATTTATATACTCCCAAAGCATTTAAGAAAATCAAATTCAAGTCAAGCTATAAACATGTATCTTTTTTTCCCGAAATTACCTGGGGAATTGTTAGTGGAAAAACATAAGTCAAAACAAAAACTTATCGGGTAACGCCACTCTTTTATTTTCAAAATATTGATTTTTCCGTTAAAAAGCTCTAATTGGATATTAAGAATGATGTCCAAGTGGTTTTTATAGGGAGGAAACAAAGGGCTTTTTACATTTTATCGTGTAAATTTAAATCACAAAAAAAACATCAACGCTTTTATTTCAAATCATTTTTCGAACGTAACTGCAAGAAATCTTGGTAAATATTAAATGGATGGAGTTAAAAATTACGTTGGGAATTACATAGTTCGTTGCTACCATTATCATGACTTAAAAGGCAATATCTGTCTTAATTTTTGGCAAAAATTTTTCGTGGGGAAACCGCAATTTTCACAATTTCGATTATTAAATTAAAATCTTCCGTACTTTCCAATAAACAAGTTACAGTTAGTCAAAAAATAGCTTATTTTGATTTTTATGAAATATTTTTTGGGCAAAATTAATTAAATATTTGTTGAAGTATTTCAAGACGTGTACGATTAAAGTATACTAAAAATTCTTAAAGGCTCAAATTAAAAGATCTATAGAGTAGCTTTCATTAAAATTTCAAATTTTAGCTTTTTTCAGAAATCTTAGCTTGCTATTACTCTTTAATAGTGTGATCTAGAAACTACTGCAATACACATATACACTGAGTGCCTGTCAATTGTCTTTAAGTGTACAAGTGTGTTCTCGTGTTCGATAACACATACGTTTCCCTTAACATTGCATATTAAGGGGAGGAGGGGGGGGGGGCTACAGAGCAAACGCGTTGTATGTTTACACGGTTGAACTGTACTGCAAGCTTTATCGGACAATGTGCAGCTCTTCTAGCCTACAGCATAGCGCCACAAACTTCTCTCATTGTTTTATTACGATTCCGCAGCTATCAGTTTTGCTGTTTTACATTTTACATTACTACAGACAAGGTAATTTCAAGCGCCAGTGAGTTTCTTGCTACAATATTATAAACATCCGCATTCGTGAAATACAGTGGAACCTCTCTAAATTCTGAATCAACTTGCTGCGACATCTCGTAAATAAATTTTTGAACTTCCCAGGTCCAAGTGGGCAACTAACTTATTATTTTAATAATAAGGTTAATCTTCTTAGTAGATTAATAATCGATATTTTATATTCCTTATTTTAATTCGCTAAAGTATAGCAAAATCTCAACCGAAAAAAAGAGTTTTTGCAATGAATAAAATAAATAAATGAATAAATAATTGATAGTGCAGAGAGAAAAAAACAATTCATAAAGCAAATAGCAGAAGATTATGGTGTCTCGGTTAATACTCTTTCCACCATTTTTTTTATAGATATTGCAAGAAAAGTTCAGTGCAAAACAAACAAATTATCAAACTTACAGGTTATATTCAACGATGATAATATTTTGAGTATTTTTTAAATACTTTTTAGAAGATTTTTTTTAAATCTCCTAATGAATCATTTTTTCTTGAACTCTTAATATACTATCAATTTCAAATCGTTTCCCTTGAGTTTCGTTATAGAGAGGTTCCACTGCATTTTATGTTGCTCTATACTGTATCTGATCGTTTTCTTGTTCTTTAGTTCTTATAAAATTTGTTTATATTCATGATAGAATGTAATTAACGCGTTGGATCTTGTAAATAAATATTTTATGCTGGAAATTATAAAAAAAGATTTTATTTATGAAGTATTCGTGATTATAATTATTGTAGTATTTGGTTTATGAAATGCGTCACATATTACAAAATTGAATGAACTCTAAACGAACGAATTATGGTTGGCTTTTCATCAATTTGACTTGAATAAATGTACAGTATGAAAAAATTATAGCCTAGATGAAACTTTTATTCAGTAAAATAATAATATTCCATTCAAGATTATTATTTTTTGTTAAAATAACGATTGAAAAAAATCGAATCTTTACGTTTGATTACCGACGCAATTATGCTGCAATTGGATAGAATCTCATCCATTCGCCATCGTCAAATAATTATTGTATATACAAAATAATCAACAGCTTAAATGATTAGTACTGATATAAATCAGAATCTCTAGGCAGCCGAGCTGCAAGCTAGCTGTGATATTACATCTTATAGCTCAAATGCGATATAGAAAGCGAGAGTAGTTGTATAGTAAGTTTCTTCCATTCTCCGAGTTAAAGAGTAGCGGAATCTCTCTTCTATATGTCAACGCTTCAACGAATCGGCAATCTCTCTTCTTTTTTATCCGACTGAATTATCCAGCGCGTGTCATTGCCGTTGCTGTGGCAATTCTGATTATTGTCGTCGATCTTCGTCGTATGACTCCTCGACGGGTACGTAGGCCGAAGCCTCTGGCAAATGATGACGGCCGGCGGCAGCGGCGGCGACGACCTCCTCCGGGTAGCCGTAGTGGTCGGTCTTGCCGTGCATCTGCACTATAGCTCGGAAGCCGTGCTTGTCGGCGCGATAGCTCACCACGCGCATGCCACCGTCGGGTTCCGCCACGCTGTACTCGCCCGATACGCTACTACCTGCAATATATCATCGCCAACATTATCATAAAGCGTATCGCTCACCAGCACCAAAGAGAGAGAGAGAGAGAGAGAGAGGAGGGAGGGGGAGAGGGAAGAAGCAAGATTAAATCATGTATACTTGGCAGATATTCTTTTACTTTCTCCACTCAACGCGCCGAGCGCGAGATCGAGACGCGATACGCGCGTAATGTGCAGCATTAGATGTAAGTTAACCTCGCCGCATATTGCAGAAGCATCGCGTGTAAATTGGATTTGCTTAAAGACACGCGTAATGATCGCAATTGAGACGAGCGGAATAGCAGTTGTGCTCACGACCATACAAGAGCGAGAGAGAGAGAAAGAGGAGGAAAAAGAAAAAACTTCTTCACTTCCGATGCTAACTGAATTCTTTTTCCGCGTTCTACTGGATCCGAGAATACGCTGTTAGAGCGTTAAATGCATAAAACAGTATAGCAGAAGCCTGAATGTGGTATGCTCGAGATGAGCAGTCAAATGTAACTGTTTAATAATTAGGTTTATTTCATCAACATCTCTTCCGGAAGTTAGATTGCATAAAATGACTCGATAGCTTGCGCGCTTGTATAGGCAGCTAGCTTTTAATACATTTAAACGTCAGAATGATTCCGACACAAAGCGATTGTTAAAATGAATTCGATTACACTTTTTGATTTAAGATGAAATTTTTATACTCTTCTACGACAAAATGTAAAATTAATAATAGTTGTGATTAATGAGCTATGAAAATTCATAGAACCAAGCTGTACACGCGTAAAACATTTCACGTCTTAGAATGCTTGCAAGTTTTCTCTTTTAACAAATTATTTTTTAACGTCGAAATTGCAATGCTCGCAAGGAATCTCAACGATTGGAAAGAGAGTAAGCGCGAAAGTCAATAAACATATGCGTGATGGACATTTACGACGATCAGCTGCAAGATTATCACTCACCGTCCCGAGACTCTTTTTGGCTATGAAAGTCGCCGGTATGATGATCCTCTACGCCGTATGAAAATTGATACTTCGGTGCTGCCATGTAGTCCATTGCGTACTCGCCGTGATGTTGCTGCTGCGCATCGGCGTGACGATAATCTTTGTCTTGATGGTTACTTTCCAGGTGATTGTGTCCGTCGTTATCAACTAATTGTTGGTGAAGACGATGGAGATCTACGTACGGCACTTTCACTTCGTATTCCGGACCCTCAACAGGTCCGTGAAATTGCATATAAGAACTTGGGACTGAAGCCTCGTGATGCTGGTACAAGTGTTTTTTTGCAAATTGTTCATCAGCTTTTCCCCCGGGGATGACTCCAGCTGAGATAGCATTGAATACTAGTAGGCTCACGCCAAGAATGTTTCTAATAAACTGCGAGTATAATTGTGAATTTAATATAATCATTTCATTTTTTGTTAATTTGTAATATTATTTTTTATTAACAAACGTTTGGTTAGGGATAAGTTGAGATTAATTTTTGATCATTCTTTTACTAAAAAAAAAAAAATTTATTGTTATTTTAATAAAAATGATCTTAATTTTCATAAATGCATACAGAAGTATGTAAATTCATTTGTATTTTGTGAAATTTTTATTCAAAATTTTCATTTATAAGTCTGCAATAAAATCTACTTTTTACAGAATCATCTGTCATCAAAAATCCAAAATAACATTATTAATTTATTAATTTTTTTTACAATTGACGTTGAATTTTTTATTTATATTGAGTTATCGAATTTTGGCATAATTTTTAAATTGAGGAACCGGCAAAATTGAGTCTGGATAATTGAAAATATATCTTTATCGGTAAAATTGTTTTAAACTCTCGCTCGAAGTATAAATAAAAAGAATTAATAAAAAGTATGTAAAATTCAATTCAATTTTTAAACTCTACACTGATAGCTCTTAGAAATAAAAACTGCTTTGAAAATGATGAACGATTTCACTAAGCTTATTCACTTGAAAAATAATCACAGTACCTTTGGTATCATTGCAACAATATGTTGGAACTAAAGTTAAAAAGTAACTGCAACTTTCTATCAATGGGGAAAGACTTTTATACTACAATCCATCTCCCATATGCGTGCGCGTTTCCTGCATACAGATTCACTGAGGCGGCTGGCACATAGCACGCTCTTGAAGTTGTCCATCCTCCGCACCGCGCGAGCTGTACAACGGAGGGGCACAAACACGTGCTTTCTTCGAGTCCGTTACTTAGCCCCACCTTTATGGCTTTAGCCGAGCTAGCTATATTGTTGTTTTGCGCAACAAAAGAATTTTTAGTCATTAATCATAATTTTCCACCCGGAAAAATATCGTATTAATAGCACTGAAGCGTACATCATCAATTTGATTTAAGTCTTGGCTGGGAAAGCACATTTTTTATTTATTCAAAATTTATTAGACTAATTTTGCTTCAAAATGTATACATGTATGTATGATAGTTGCCTAACGCTGAAAAGAAGTCGCAAAAATTTGTTGAAATTCATTAGCTGAGGTTGCGACTTTTTGCTTATGCAAGCATTTCAGATTCAAGAATTCATTTCTTGAAAAATTCAGTTATTTTTTCGTATGTACGCAGAGGGGGATGAGTTTTCGGAGTAGTTTAACTGAAAAATTCCACGCATAGGAAGTGGGGAAGCTGACAAAGAAAATAAATCAGCAAGTAGACGAAAAATTTAAACTGCTTACTCGAGTTCGTCGGTGACAAATTCTAAATTCTTTTTCGCTAATGCGTCACAAGGGCATGTTATTTTTTTTTATCCAAATCCTCGAGTGTAGCTCTTTTCTTTTTTAACCCCTCCGCCTCTATCTCTATTTTTTCCGTTTACGTATACGTATAATATATAGCGTACGCATAGGAAAACTAAGGTATTACCATCGCTGCTGTAGTGCGAGGACGAGGACACGACAACGACGACGTTCAAGTGCAAATTGTTCCCACCTCTCGAAGTGGGTCAAGCTATAGCTGTAGCTCGGAGCTGTGTAAAACATTGCACAGGCTCCCTGCAATGTTGAGCTGGGGCTATCAACGCTTAAACGAATTCCCGACGGAATCATGAGAGGGTGCGGGCGCGAGAGAAAATAAAGGCTTCCGTTACCTCGCCGCATCGCGCACAGCACAGCAGTACCAGTGGCCAGTGCTCGGGGTTTTCATTTCTCTGGCTTCGATCGAGCTTAACTAACTGAGCTATACTATTTTTTTTCTCCTTTTTGTCCTCGATGCCGCGTCAACGCGCGACTACTACAGCGCCAGGTCGAGTTGGCTAGAATTGCTTTTTAATTTGGACTCATTTGATTTACATAAAATTAATCGAACGAGTAGCGAGCTCTGGAAATTCATTTTACTGCTACTCACAGAAACTAAAACATTACATGATGGTTGCTTACACTGATGTAAATTGAAATTAATTGAAATATCTATTTCAAGTTTTCAACGGTTACATTGCACGTTTTGCTCGAGGGTTCAAATAGCTTCTTCGAAATGTAAAAATTATCTATGTTGTTATTATCAAAAGTGAACTTGGTAAAACCTATCATAGTAATACAATCTTTTAAAAAAATACGTACCAACTTCTCATATAATCTTTTGTAAATAAACTATTCTTTAGAAACGCGACTACATTGTACTTTTTTGTTCGGTTCTGCAAAAGGATTGAGTATGATGTTAAATGCTTTCAGTTTTAGCAAAAAAGATGATCTATTTATAACGAAATTAGAATCGGACTTGCAAAGAAAAGGTTACAGAAATAAAGTTCATTCGCGTTAAATATGAATTGGTTATTCCGTAGAATAATGAGTTTGAAATTGCACGATAGCAATTGCAGTATTTTGATATCTATGAAGTTAAGTCTCTCGTAAAGCAGCAAATTATCATATATTTAAAATCTACTTCATCGCTCGAAATGTAAATATCTAGGCGATAAACGAGCATGAAAAAAGCTAGTATTTTTCCAACTAGTTGCTGTAATCCGGCAGTAAACGTACATACACGCACGCGAAAAAACGACTTGAAATTTAAAGGTGCACGCGAAAAATATTTTGCTTCTCTTTCCATAGGGCGCCGCATTGGGGCAACTAACAAAGCCGATTAGAGTGTCAGACTTCTTCACCTTTTCGCGTGACAATTTTTTCTTTTTTTTTGTCACCAGCAGCAAATGTCGCCACACCAAACTAGGTTACAAACATGCATATCTGTGAGTTACATTAATGTCTTTCTCGTCTCTCTCGACATGGCTGAAATATGATGAATGGTTGAGTAAGTACATGTGTCGGGCGTACAGTGTGAGATTTTTCAGTGCGATGCAGACTTTTCATCGTAAGCCTCTTATCATCCCAAATTTTCTACGCGCATTACATTTTAAGCGCGTTATTATTTTTGAATTTCCTCGTTATACTATTGTCAGCGCTAATTTTCAAAATTAAATGAATAATATATAGACATTTTCATTGTTATCAGTAAAAATAATTCGACCAATCAATCATACCTCGGTACTGAAACATTCATATATTTTAACCGATACTGCGACGCGCATATATTAGGTGAGTTGTTTCATCGCTGCACGTTGGCGCATATAAAAAAGTCCCTTTCCTCCCTCAATGTAGTATAAGTCGCGAAAGTCTCGTTGTTCGTCGAGTCAACCTGAAAGAGAAAAATAGAGAGAATCAGTAGAGCGGCGATGCACATGCATTATGTAGAAGGATAAGAAGTATATATACCAAGAGTATATATATAGCACACGTACGTACGTGTGCTAGAAAAGAGAAGTGTGAAAACGGAATCGTTGTCGCGCTCGCGCGATAAGTTTCTTTTGCCGGGGCTTTTTTTCATTCTCTTTTTCGCGACAAGAATCTTCATGCATTTAATTAAAAATCTAGTTTTTTGCCGGCGTGTTGGCGGAAATGAAATGCAACCGTTGGAATATACCTCCAATTATTACTTACCAACATGCTAGTACAATAAAGCCTAGTGGCGGAAATTTCGAAGTACGAGACTCGTACGTACAAAAGATACTCGGAATATGCTGCTGAATTAATACTCGCGCTAATGCAGGAAAAAAGCATTTGGAAAGTGCAATTCTTGATCGAAACGCAGTTAATGGCAGTTAAAATATTGAATGCATCTCAAATTAATGCAGCGTCCTCGTAACTGCAGGTTCATATAATAGAGTTACGCGCATAACATGATGTATACCGATTCATAAAAAAAAAACTCTATTAAAACCGCTACTTTGTGCGTTACTTGAAGATATCCAATGGATTAGTTTAATTGAAATAATGATAATCCTTATAAGTTTCGTGTCCAGTGTACTGTAAATGAGATCTTTCGTTATTATTTTGATAAAATACTCGAAAACCCAGAGGGGCTCTCTTGGGGGCTTCATTAATACTTTAATGTTTCATTATTAAATTTCGCAAAAGCATGGACGAGTTATAAAATTTAGCCGCGCCACCGTGATAAATGCCACGGCTAGGGCGCGCGCCGGGAAAAAATGAGAATGATAAAAACTTGCAAGCTCTTCATCATTTTTAATGCCGAATGACTGTATAATTTTATAGCAGGTGCCATATAATTTTATAGTAGATATAGCGAGAATACTGCAACGTGGATGAGCCTATGTTGCTACGCTGGCGCGCGTACTAAAGCCGCTGCTACGTGCCTTGGAAATCGCTTGCTTGAAAGCATCGCGCTTCTGCTGCTACCACTGCTTTTGCTCGCGCGTATAGACCAAAGAATATATATATATTGATAAACCCACATGTAGAACGTGCACAATGTATATATTTATATAAGATCTATACATACGTACGCTATAAGCGCAATCAAAGTACGAAGCCATTTGCACATTTGGCACGTCTTTCTCTCCGTCTCTCTCTCTCTCTTCTCTTCCTCTGGAGCTAGCGAGAAGATGTCGCACGTATAAGTGGCTAGAATCGGAAAAGCAGAAGAGAGCGAGAGTTGAGCTTGCGAGCGAAGCTAGGCAAAAGGGAGATACGTCGCACATGTATGTGGCTGGGTATAGCTAATATACAAGGTGAATTTGCGCGTGTGCATAGCCGCTTCTGTTGCCGCTGCTACTACTAATGCTATACTGGGGCAAAGAGAACCCGAGTCTGGCGCAATAGAGCAGAGTAGACTTGCAGAGAGATTAGGATGTCTCAAGTAAAGTCCAAACCTTACCCGCAGCTTGTCATGTCTTGTCAGTTCAACTACAGAGCGAGAGAGCTGGTTGAAATACTGGATCTATATGTGCAGTATATAATATACGCGCAGAGTAGTCTCAGGATCCTTTCAGTAGAAATGTACGCATACAACTTCCATGCTGTACAATACTATGTATACACACTCATGCTTGCACTCATATACATAT